TCTTCTCAAGTGCAGACCCATCACTCTGGTTGTCAGACCCACTCTTCAAGAATGCAAACCCACCATTCTGGTTGCAAGACCCACTTTTAGATCGCAGACCCACCATTCTAGCTGCCAGACCAACTCTTCTCAAGTGTAGACCCACCACCCGCCCCTGGTTGTCAGACCCACTCTTCAAGGGCGCAGACCCACCACTCTGGTTGTCAGACCCACTCTTCAAGGGTGTACGTACACCCACCATTCTGGTTGCCGGACCCACTTCTAGATTGCAGACCCACCATTCCAGCTGCCAGACCCACTCTTCTCAAGTGCAGACCCACCACTCTGGTTGTCAGACCCACTCTTAAAGGGTGCAGACTCACCATTTAGTGGCCAGACCCACGCTTCTCAAGTGCAGACCCACCACTCTGGTTACCGGACCCACTCTTCTAGAGTGAAGACTCATTATTCTCGAATGCAGATCCACAATTCTGTTGCTAGACCAACTTCTAGATTGCAGACCCACCATTCCAGCCGCCAGACCCACTCTTCTCAAGTGCAGACCCACCATTCTGGTTGTCAGACCCACTCTTCTAGAGTGAAGACTCATTATTCTCGAATGCAGATCCACAATTCTGGTTGCTAGACCAACTTCTAGATTGCAGACCCACCATTCCAGCCGCAAGAACCACTCTTCTCAAGTGCAGACCCACCATTCTGGTTGTCAGACCCACTCTTCAAGGGTGTATACCCACAATTCTGGTTAACAGACCCACTTCTAGATTGCATACCCACCATTCTAGCTGCCAGACCCACTATTGTCAAGTGCACACCCACCACTCTGGTTGTCAGACCATTCTTAAAGGGTACAGACCCATCATTATGGTTGCCAGACCCACTTCTAGATTGTAGACCCACCATTCTGGTTGCCAGACCCACTTCTAGATTGCAGACCCACCATTCTAGCGGCCAGACCCACTCTTCTCAAGTGCAGACCCACCACTTTAGGCAACAGGGGTGAATAATAGATTCAACAAATAAAGATTGTTTAATTTTTGCAAAAAATTTCTCGTCATGTGACAACCCTTCCCAACCCCCCTCAACCCCCTACCCCTCCCCCCTAAAAAACTCATCGGATTTTTGCTTCCCGCGAACATGATTTTTTCTGAAAATTTTTGTCAAGCCAGATCTGTAAATCTATCAAATATGTAAAAAAAAAACCTTAGCCTGGCATTATCAACGTATGTTGTACCAAGTTATTTAAAGGACCAGTGAACTCAAAAATGTGTCTCCAATTAGTCTCCAATTTGGCTAAGATCCAAATCAGCTGTGACAAACTGGTAAAAATCGTATTGCCGAAAGAACAAATAACAAAATAACAACAAAACATACGATATTTGAAGAATGACTCAGAAGTCAGAATCGTAAAATATCAAATTACCAATGACCATCCATACCTAGATAAAATAATCGAGTCATATAATAGACTACAGCGAGAATGGGATGTTATTTACGTTTTCCCACCATTTCACAGAATTATTACAATAAATTTTATCAGAACAATTTATACTGGTAGGGAAAGGCTAAATATACAAAATGCAAGCCCCAATATACAATGATCGTCATGAAATCTAATTAATTTACCGATGAGTAAGTTAAGACTGTGCGAAAGTTTATGTTGTATCCACACTCCACAAAAAGCTTTTACCAGGACATGGTTGCCTGTACTTTGCAAAAGACATATCATAATTTGTGATAACTACGATAAATGGTGCCATCTGGCTGTGTTTTACTTGTGGATTGTAAGAGAAATTCACTTTAAAATAGTCATTTCTCAGTTCTAATACACTATTTCGAAGGGCTTCAGATATTGTTATTGTAGATTTTAATGTGGCCAAGCAAAAACGCAAAAAACCACTAATATTCTAAAGAATTTCACTGAATTATAAATTGTAAACGAATTATCGGAGATAATTGTCTGCAGCAGGTCTACTGCAGGGCTGCTGCATGACTGTCAGAGGACTTTCGTCGATGATCAGGTGAATGACTGTAACGTTATACATATTTTCCTTGATTTTCCCTGATTAAAATTATTCCATTTCCGGGGGGGGGGGGGGGGGGACCCCATCGAACCCCATCCCATTTGACCGAAATTTGAGGAATAAATGGGCAAAATGGCATCATTTTCCGGTCAAAATCGAAAATTAGATATTTCTGATACCAAACTCTATTTAGTTTCAATGTAGTTGAACTTGCTAATAAGAGGACGGCAAACACGATGGTGAAGTTTATTTTCATCGCAACTCAAGTTTTAGCTGTTTTTACGGCTTAAAACAGCAAATACCATGACCATTTGACGGAAATTTGAGAAATAAATTGGCAAAATGGCATCATTTTCCGGTCAAAATCAAAAATTAGATATTTCTGATACCAAACTCTATTTAGTTTCAATGTAGTTGTACTTGCTAATAAGAGGACGGCAAACACGATGGTGAAGTTTATTTTCATCGCAACTCAACTTTTAGCTGTTTTTACGGCTTAAAACAGCAAATACCATGCCCATTTGACGGAAATTTGAGGAATAAATGGGCATGGGATTGCCCCCCCCCACCACAATTAGCAGGGTCGATAAGCCAACTTAATTACGTAAATTATACCTGACGTGGTCCCACTGTTCTTAAAAATTGATGTCACTGCTCAGATTGCTGATTTGAGGAACCAGAATAAATTGGTTCCTTACTTAATTAGTATGATTTAGGAACCGACCGGAATGGGCTTTTGGCTGCCGGACCGGATTTTGCCGGATATCGATCTATTATCCGGTTAGCCGGATTTTGCCGGACCGGAACCGCGACCGGTTGTTAGGAAGGGCAAATATAAGGTTGCCGGAACTTGCCGGATCTTGCCGGAAAATTTAAATCAATCCTTATTATTGGGCTTTTGTCATTATCAATTATGATATTAATCCTTATATGCCATAGTTTGTAATTAAACAATAAGTGTAAGCTTATACGACCAGGCCGATGATGTTTACAGTTTAGGCCTAGCAGTACAAATGATATGCAATTGGCATATCCTACCACACGTGCAATCGCTCTCCTTGAGCGCGATTGCACGTGCGAGACATAGTTGTTTCTTTTTGTCCCTTTTCGTCATGCAGGTTTGAGTATCAAAGCACAATAGTTCCCGATTCAGGGCACAATTTTACCTTTTTAGCATGCAGGCGCACTTAATCGCTGGTTATTTCCAATTAAGCGACACAGTAGTTCCCGATTCAGGGGGGGGGGGGGGGGGGGGGGTGATACACAATTTTGGACTCGAGGCTTCCCCTCAGGGTTGTAACTTGTAGGAAGCGGGGGGGGGGCAAGGGGCCAAAAAGGGCCAACTTTTTTATTTAAGTTTCTAAAAATATTTGGGGAAAAAATTATCAATTTTTTAAACCGAAAATTATTCTCAATCAAAATTTTTCAAAGCTTTCTGCACGATTCCCATGGTGGGGATCTAGTGCCAACCCAATCACCTGATTCAACGTAATGCTCCCGTTTTTTAGGACAAGTGTATTCTAAAGGCCTACCGACAGTTGCGCCCGTTTCCCACACCTTAACAGGCCATTAACAGGTTCCCAATCATGAGTGACGTGATCTGATTCGCCATGTCAGATTCAGATGTAAAAATTCGTACTTACGACTCAGTTCGTGGATGACAAACGAAGAGGTGTACATAAATTTGTACTTAAGTCATTTTTAATACACCATAAACTGTTCGTGGAAGACACCCACTACCCATGATGTAGGAATTAACATTCGGTTTGGACGTTTGGAGGGAGTAAAATTACATTATAAATAAATGTGCAAAATCTAAAAATGAAGTTCGGACGAATGCTGTATTCCCTGTATTACAGTCCGCTCTGAAGAATGCATATATAATACCTGAACAATCGCATATTATCCTCGATAACTAACTTTGTGAGTTTGTGCTAGGGTAAAGATAGGTAACTCTTAATTCTTCGTAGCTTTGCGTCCATCGTTATGATCGTACGATTTTTTATTGAATAAAGTTTACTTTTATTATGATTGGAGGGATTTCAATATATCGATTGGGCGCAACTGTCGTATCTGATCAAGCAGTTTTTTAATTGGTTTTGACAGGGGTGTAGGAAGGGGGGGGGGGCCATCACCCCCCCCCCCCCCCCCCCCCCCCCCATAAAATCTGGGCAATGGGCCAACTTTCTTATTTAGGTTTCCAAAAACTTTAGGGACAAAATTGTCAAATATTTTTTCTGAAAACCAATTTTCTCCACATTTCATGCTACCCTGTTCATTATTAGCCGAAAATATTTTTTTGGTTTTTCAAAGTCCGCACTCCGCACCCACTCATCGAGAATGACTTGGACCAAAAATTTTCTAAGTACACATTTTTTCAGTTTTTCTGAAAACCACTTTTCTCCACGTTTCATGCTACCCTAATCATTATTAGCCGAAAATATTTGTTCGGTTTTTCGATAGCACCCCTCGAGGCTTCCCCTGGTAATGCAATCTCGGAAGGCAGGCCTCCCCTTTGCAACACGAGCTCGGAAACGGGAGGTACATATCGAGAATGACTTGGACCTTATAATTTTATAATGGCCCTGTTCATTATAAGCCGAAAATATTTTCTCGGTTTTTCAAAGTCTAGTGAAAAAAGTTATGATTTTTAGGAATTCGAGTATTAAAGCTCGCGCAATACAATTACACATGAGCGCTGATCTTTGACCGGCGATAATTTCGGCTAGGAACAAAATTTTTCCATGGGACCAAAAAAAACTAGTAGATATCACTCCCCCCTATCAGAAACAACTATAAAATCAATTTCGAGAGAAATTTCATAAAGACCCCCCCCCTGCCCCCTTAACCACTTTCCTTGTGTTGTTGGTTAATCATATTATAAGCGGGATAGAAATACCTCATTCCTACCACAGCACAGGTAGGATATCGTAAGTTCACATTTTAAGAGAAACTCATTTAACTACCCATACATTCAGGATGACAGAGATACAACTCTACATTAACCCACGAACAAAATGGACGGTCTACTTCTTCATGGTTCTATTCGGACTCTCCTCTCTGCTCCCTTGGAACATGGTCATCACAGCTACTGGTTATTTTGCTGCCAAGTTCTCTGAGACTAACAGCACCCAAATTGAGACAGGGTTCCCCAGTTACTTTCAGATAGGTGGTATCGGATCTAATGTGGTATTCAGTCTTTCTTCAATAGTACTTCTGAAATACGTGCCGATAAAGCCTGTGCTGATCACATGTAACATTGTAGCTCTGATCATATTTGTGGTGATGACTGTGATGTCCAAACAGATCACTGTCACGTGGCCCATGTCCTTCTTTTACATCTCTAACGTTATCTTCTGTGTAGCGTGTGCTGTGTCAGCAGCTTACATCTCCGGGATGATGGCAGTTGCGTCCATGTTAACACCAACAGCAGTGCAAGGCTTCTTCTTGGGTCAGGGTGCTGCCGGACTGTTTGCAACACTCCTCAGCATCATCACTCTCTCAATACCAGGTGCTGATCCAGTACAAGCAGGGTTCTACTACTTTCTCATCGCTGCCATATCCCTCGCACTGTCTTTAGTTGCATACCTTCTCTTCAGCAGGATGAGTTATGTGAGGTACAACACGATGCGAAAAGAAGAGAAGATAGAGGACCAAGCAGGAGCCGGTGCTGACTTATCTGCATGTCAAGTCTTCATGAATATCTGGAAGTTCTGCATCTCATCCTTGATAACGCTGTCGATAACTCTAGCTTGTTTCCCTGCTGCCCTCTCTGCATTGAGATCCACCAGTACCGACACAACAAGTCGCTGGACAACCACCTACTTCTCCCCAGTCATGATCTTCCTGATATTCAACATAGGAGACGTCCTAGGCAGAGTAACCTCAAGTCTCCTTCCCTACCCCACCAAGCGCCTTATCCTCCCCATCTCCGTCTGCCGTATCGTCTTTATCCCACTTCTCTACATGTGTAACCTTCAACCTCGCTCTCTCACAGTCTGGTTCAAGTCGGACTTGTGGCCCGCTATTTTCAACCTCCTCATGTCCTGGACTAACGGACATCTTCTCTCACTCTCAGCAGTGTATGGTCCCCAAGAGGTGGAGACTAAAAGTGCTCAATCCCTGGCGGGAACGTATAGGGCATTCTCCGGCACTCTGGGACTTGTTATTGGCAGTATTCTTGTCTTTCCCTTCCTCTATATTTTGAAGAATTAACCCTGATGTAAAACAGTGGACAGTGGAGACGAATCATAACCGACACAGTAGAACAAAGAAATTCGTGACGCAAACTGGCCGTCCCCATAATGTTATGAATCAATAAAGACTTTGACAATCGATATTATAGACTAAAATGACATATAATTATAATAAAGTATAATTATTGCAATATATTGCAAGCAGAAATTTATTTCACATCGAGCATGCGCGTGTCTTTACGTCAAATAAATAGACACTTTGGACGTCACATATTATTCAATATCTGGAGAGTTTATTTGTAATTTAATATACGATTTTTCTTATGAGATTTATGATGACGTCTTCTATTTTGTCCTTTATTGAATTTCGATTCTGCAAGTAAAACTCTGATGGGTGATGATCCAATAAGGATTCGACAATATACAATATAGCATTCAATTCTATAGAGAAAGCCCTAAACCAGAAATTTGAGTCCTCCTCAATCAACAACTGGATCATGTCTATTTTCCGTAATAAAACCACTAATGTGGAACTAAAGGAATGCAAGAAATCCATTATTATAAGAAAAGGATGCCCGTAAGGTAGAATCTTGTCTCCATTTCTATGGAATCTGGTGGTTGACAGTCGTACTCCAGAGACAAGATCCCATGCGATCTGCAAGGGTTCGCGGACGACACTGCTCTCTTAGCCAAATTAGAGAGACTGGCCACAGCACAGGTGGCAACAAGGGCTTTGGTGCTGATCATCTCATAGAGATGACGCAGAAAAGTCTTGGAGCCATCATAGGCTGGTGCACCGATAACGGGTTGAAGATGAGCACACTACAATCACATTTCGTAATGTTCACACTTTGAGGAGGAAATGGGAATTCTCAGATCCTCTGACAGTGAACAGAATAGAAATAGATATATTTATAAATAATAGATAAAAGTTCGACTAAGTTTCTAGGAGTGACACTTGATAGCAAACTCACGTGGAAGGAACATATCAAAAACCAATGTAAAAAACCAAGGGCATACTCATGCAATGAAGGGGAGCTATCGGACCAACATGGTTTTTTTTGCCACAACAGCTATAAAACTGATTACGGATCGGAGGGGATTACATAATACATAGATACATATCGCTTGCCAGCGTTGAGATTTGCTGGGAGGCACTCTTCAAAATGCCCTTTCCCCTCCCTATATTTAACATACAATACATCAATCAGCATGAACTTCAGACCCGCTTCATTAACTTCCAGTTCCTGAGCCAGTAAGGTAACAATCACAGGTACAGGTACAGGTAACAATCACTTCTTGAGGCAATCAATAATCAGAAAAAACTCACAAACTAGAAACTCTGAGTTTCTAGTTTGTGAGAAACTAGAAACTCTGAACACCAACAGACGACTGACAAGGTCAGGAAGTGTATTATAAACTGAGACAGAAGCACTAGATAGCAGCTCAGACTACCTCAGCTTGAGACCACTGTAACCTATACTTAGCAGGCACTATCAAACTATAGCCACACTTCATGGGCTTCAATTAATTTGAAGGGGTAAACACTTTATATAAGTTGTATCATTTACTGTAGCCACCATACTACAGGAGGGTTATACTGGGCGATAAGTACGGCTATCATTTCATAATATTGATGTAGGACCTTATCTTTAACTCTTTAATACAACTTTAGTTGTATTTAGTACTTAATTATCTAATAATTTGGTAACAATTAACGTTATCGCCTGGGCTGTTCAGTGATTATTGCGTGCAGAAACCTTTTGCTGGTAGAGGTCATTAATATATTCATTCTCCTAGCTTACAATTCACACCGTGTAAGATACGTCACAGGAGTCGTGCAATGAGCTATTTATTCGGTGTGTCATGTTGTTGTTGCTCTAACAGAGCTGCTGACGTGGCACCTTATCAGTCAATGGTATCATCAGCCGAGCTGGCTAGATACTGCAACTGTTGCACTAACAGGATGGATCACATGATCGTCACGCAGCTCCTAAATGATTAAGGGCTTTGTAATTTTGAGAATGGATTCAGTTTCAGATTCTCAGCACAATGCACAGAATTTCAACATCGAAACGTGCGCAGCAGAAACTCAATAAGCACTGAAATAATAAAGCTAATCAGTGCCCATTCTGGCAACGAAACAGCTTCCTGGAGGAGATTAAACACAGATTCTGAAGCATCATACCACATGACTTGAAAACTTCCAAGTCGTTAGGATAAATGAAAGTTATTAACGAAAGTCACCTGGGACACCCGGTATAATAAAACACAACGAACAAGATAATATACTACACCAACTATAGATCTACTTTATACTAACTGTGTAACAATAGAACAGCTGTTGTTAGCAACCTGTGTACCGAGTGTTCAGTTTAATAAGTGTTTTTGTGTGAATTGTAGCGGAGATAATGTCCAGCATAATAAGTTAATACCACATGTGTATGTGAGCTAAAACGTTATTAACCAATAGCACCAATGTCCCCAATCTAGCCTCTAATGCTAACAAATATTCGTCGGTACATAGGTGAGTGCAGTGGCAGTCAAATATAAACTAGTAACATGGCCTCATGTCAGAAGTTCCTGAGAATAACAAACACCTCACACATTAATACATCTGGTAAGTGGAAAGTGGGAGTTAGGGATACCAATACGCAACAATTGTGGCGGTATAAATGGAAGCTCTGTCATGACTCATGAAGGAAGCTAAATTCGAGTGATTAACAGGATGTATCATTTCCATGATAGTTAAGTTGGGTTATTTGGTAGTTAGCACACTTAATTGTTGTGAATGTCATGATCACACAATATATTATATCATAAGTTTGTTCTTTGGTAATCATTTAATGACGATTAAACAAAACAGTGACGTCATACCCATAACACAGTTTCCTTGATTTTGCCTTAGAACTAGAAATGATCAAATTTACGAACTTTGCAACTGATAACCTCGATAAGTGTTAGGTTTCCTCCAATTTCGAACTAATCTGATTTTATACCATCAAACATGTCCTCCGACCGTGTCACGGTTCTAAAGATTGGTTTTTTATGAACTGTTGATTTATCTTATGTGATATTTTCATGTGTGCTGTATTCACTATTCAGTGACCGTTGTGGTATCTGTGCTAAACAAACATCAACATGTTACCCGAACATCAACGAGAGCTTACTGATAGTACGCAATTAGCAGGTTTGATAAGCCAACCTAATTACGTGCATACCTGGAATGGCCAAACTGAGCTCATACAAAATAGTATCACTGCTCAGATTACTGATAAGAACCAGAGATAAAATTGATATAAACGGGACCACGCTTGGGAATTATCTCAGTTTAGCTGATTTGTGCACCGTTTCAGCTGTATACTTTTATATTGCGTATGTTGTACGGGGTAAATGGTGATAGATTAAGTTGACCTCTTGATCTGGGCTGTTAGTCATATTGTCATGTTTAGATTTTAAAGTAACACTGCACTTTTCGATATTATTAGATGGGAATTAATGAAATCCTCCCAGAATACTTACCGTTCGTTTTGCCTAAATTTTGATACTTTTCGTATTTTCAAGGTATGGTGAAATAGACTGTAGTGTTAACGTATGCTAATCAGTATGAAATAAAGTGCTTGCATCGCGCTCATATTACAGGGTGGGCCAAAAGTCACTGGACATTCGTTGGCCTTAATAGCTCAGTCACTGAGTTTCTGGTATGACTTACTACCACCACTGGGCACTGGTTCGAGGAATTTGTCAAATCGAAAAATATTCGAGTTCATTTTTGCATTTATTTGATAGTTTGGATAGTCGGATCAAGCTAAATTTTATTGAATAATTGTGTTTGGCCATTCTAATTACGTTTGTCCTTAAAAAATAGAACTGTAGCTTCTCAGATGACCGATATATAATGAAGCATAACGAGTTTATTCATTACGTGTGATCAGGTGATTGGTTTACCTAATCACGTGATTACTGATTAGGTGACCCCGTTAACCACCCCGTTAAACATTATGAGAATTGTTAAGGGTGCCCAATTAAGATGTCGTGTCACGGTGTCACATAATCACCCAGTCAATTTTGTTAACGAGATACACAAAATGCTTGATAACTTCGTCATTTTTAATAATATTAGCCGTTCAGCATGTTCAGAGAAATCAATATACGTAGGTGTTTTAATATTGAATGGGCGTGTTCTAAAATATTCGAATTTTAAAATTTTGTCGACAGAATCCTCGAACCAGTAAGTACAGTATGCCATCTGCAAAGCAATAGCTCTCAAATATAAAACACGGCGGAGCTATTAAGGCCAACGTATGTCCACTGACTTTTGGCCCACTCTGTATGATTAAGAAACGAAAACAAATTTAAGGTTGCTAACCGTGTTAGAGCGACTGGTTGTGAAAACAAAACATTACATAAACCATCACCTAATTCCTTTACTTGAAACCGCCCTGATAATAATAGGAGACAGTTCACATAATACGTCAGCAAGCCGGGGGGGGGGGCGGGGGCTGGGGGAGTAGTAGAGGGGGTTTAGGGGGAGTAGTAGAGGGGGGTTTAGGGGGAGTAGTAGAGGGGGTTTAGGGGGAGTAGTAGAGGGGGTTTAGGGGGAGTAGTAGAGGGGGTTTAGGGGGAGTAGTAGAGGGGGTTTAGGGGGAGTAGTAGAGGGGGTTTAGGGGGAGTAGTAGAGGGGGTTTAGGGGGAGTAGTAGAGGGGGTTTAGGGGGAGTAGTAGAGGGGGTTTAGGGGGAGTAGTAGAGGGGGTTTCGGGGGAGTAGTAGAGGGGGTTTAGGAATACTTATGCAAGTTTAATTTCCATAACATAGTTATGTTGAAAATGGCTCACGGAGGTGAGGGAGGGGGTTGAAATGCCAATGGCTAAAATCTGGCTTCTGTAATATGTGGACGGTTCCTAGTAGAAATATATCCATAGAATGAGACGTCGAAGCAATGGTAGAAACAGCAGAGTATGGTTCGTATATTTATTTTTTTAGAAATAGTTGGCTTATCTAAAATTTATAGAATTTCTGTAAATGTTGGATAAGATGTTATGGTCCATGGCCGTCAGGCCTGAGCTGAATGACTTCTGACTAACTTGAATAAATCCTATTTGTAAGATTCGACAAAATTTTTCACCTGTCGATTTCTACCGATGAGTATACATTTGGTAAACTGTATAATCTTACAAGTAGGAAATCGTAAGTTTAAGTTTTATTAACTTATTAACTACCCATGCATTCAGGATGAGTGAGACAGAATCTCTGCTGGGTAAGAACGTAGAACAATACATCACCCCACGTACAAAATGGACGGTCTACTTCTCCATGGTTCTATTCGGACTCTCATCTCTGCTCCCTTGGAACATGGTCATCACAGCTACTGGTTATTTTGCTGCCAAGTTCTCTGAGACTAACAGCACCCAAATTGAGACGGGGTTCCCCAGTTACTTTCAGATAGGTGGTATCGGATCTAATGTGGCATTCAGTCTTTCTTCAATGGTGCTACTGAAATACGTGCCGATAAAGCCTGTGCTGATCACATGTAACATTGTAGCTCTGATCATATTTGTGGTGATGACTGTGATGTCCAAACAGATCACTGTCACGTGGCCCATGTCCTTCTTTTACATCTCTAACGTTATCTTCTGTGTAGCGTGTGCTGTGTCAGCAGCTTACATCTCCGGGATGATGGCAGTTGCGTCCATGTTAACACCAACAGCAGTGCAAGGCTTCTTCTTGGGTCAGGGTGCTGCCGGACTGTTTGCAACACTCCTCAGCATCATCACTCTCTCAATACCAGGTGCTGATCCAGTACAAGCAGGGTTCTACTACTTTCTCATCGCTGCCATATCCCTCGCACTGTCTTTAGTTGCATACCTTCTCTTCAGCAGGATGAGTTTTGTGAGGAACAACACGATGCGAAAAGAAGAGAAGATAGAGGACCAAGCAGGGGCTGATGCTTCTGACTTATCTGCCTTTCAAGTCTTCATGAAGATCTGGAAGTTCTGCATCTCATCCCTGATAACACTGTTGATAACTCTAGCGTGTTTCCCTGCTGCCCTCTCTGCATTGAGATCCACCAGTACCGACACAACAAGTCGCTGGACAACCACCTACTTCTCCCCAGTCATGATCTTCTTGATATTCAGCATAGGAGATGTCCTAGGCAGAGTAACCTCAAGTCTCCTGCCCTACCCCACCAAGCGCCTCCTCCTCCCCCTCTCCATCTGCCGTATTGTCTTCATCCCACTTCTCTACATGTGTAACCTTCAACCTCGCTCTCTCACAGTCTGGTTCAAGTCGGATGTGTGGCCCGCTATTTTCAACCTCCTCATGTCCTGGACTAACGGACATCTTCTTTCACTCTCAGCAGCGTATGGTCCCCAAGAGGTGGAGACTAAAAGTGCTAAATCCCTGGCGGGAACGTATGGGGCATTCTCCTGCGCTTTGGGACTTGTTATTGGCAGTGTTCTTGTCTTTCCCTTCCTCGATATTTTGAAGATTTAACCCTGATGTAATACAGTGGACATTGGAGACGAATCATAATTGACCCAGCAGAAGAAAGAAATGCGTGACATAAACTGGCCGCAATAGTACCAATAATGTTATAAATCAATTAAGAATTTGACATCCGATATTAGAGACTAAAATGACATATAATACTAATAAAGTATAATTGCAGGCAGAAATTTATTTCATATCGAACATGCTCGTGTCTTCACGTCAAATAAATATTATACACTTTGGACGTCACATATTATTCAATATCTGGAGAGTGTATGATTTGTAATTTAATATAAGATTTTTCTAATGATATTTTGCTTATGAGATTAATGATGGGGTATTATTTGTCCTTTGTCAAAACGTGTGAATTTAGCAACTTTTTGAAATGGTTAATCTCATAATTTTAGAACCGAGTCGAATAGAAAAAAATCGCTACACCACTTTTTTAGATAATTGTCTAAGGAACTACTGTACCAAACCTCAAGATAAGGAAGTGACTGGAATTCTGAACTTAAGTCAAAGCCCAAATGTAACTACCAACACGCTTAAAGTTAATAACTCACGTTATTCGTGTCAAAATTTCAAAAAATTTCAGAGAATGTAGATATGGGTCAAACTTAGAATTTCTGAAAGTTTCGCTAAATTTCATTGATTACAGAGGGTGTGGCTGGTAGCACTCCACTGTCTTTTTAAGCTATTAGTATTGTCGTCATAAAGTGATTTCCCAAAATTTCAAGTTGATTGAACACAATTTAGCCGAGTTACGACCCTTTTAAGATCATACAGATACGTGATCTCTGCACTAAATCAGTGATTTCGTCACCCAATCAGTGATCTCATCGGAAGCTATTCGCTAACGTGCAACAATGAGCTTCATTAGGCGGTACCAAACATGTTGGGGATGACGATCTGATCACTTTGACTTTGAGTGAATACTGATAGTGACTTTCCTTAAAATCAAAGAAATTCGCGTTATATCACTTCAGTTGCTGCCCTATAAGCAGTATAGAACCAATTAGACCGTTGATTGAGTGAGGAGAGCACTGATTAGGTGTCGGGATCAAGTATCCACCAGAGCTTAAAATGATCATAACTCGGCTGAGTTGTAAACAATCAATTTGAAATTTTGGGAAATCACTTGAATTATCAAACCAAATTAAATGTGTCTATAAACTTTGGAGTTCCTAGCTCAAAGCGTTCTCACTTTATGGCGACAATAGTGAAAAAGAGGGAGTGGCGTGCCACACCCTCTGTAATCATTGAAATATAGCGAAACTTTCAGGAATTCTAAGTTTGACTCATATCTATATTCTCTGCTATTTTTGTAAATTCTGACACGAATAACTTGAGTTATTAAAGGGTTGCGTGTGGGTAGTTACTTTTGGGCCACCCTGTAGTTCCAGGTTTTTGCTATTAATTTACAGATCTCAAAGTTCGCGCGATATCTCGGAGTACAAGGTCTGGTTTTATCCTTTTCTTCTACTTGTTCGTCTCCAGGAGCTCTATCACATCAACAAAAATGTTGATCGACTTTGGACCCCCCCCGGCCCCCCCCCCCCCCTCCGGCCTTAGACGCACGCATTCGGAGGAAGTTGAGCGGTGCTTCCTCAAATAGTACAACACGTGCGTTTCATTCTTACATAAACGGAACATTAACGATGTTAAGGTGATAATGTTATTGTATGCTTTAAACCTTTTAATTATGGAACCGAAAGTGTTTAGCATAAAGCACAAGACAATTAATTTGCTAATTTCAAGCGCGTGGGAAAGGAGCGAGAGGTCAAACTTTATAATCCACTTTTTATCCTACTTAGAATGTATGTAGTACATACCATCCTACATATCCTACATATCCTACATATCCTACACATCCTACATATCCTACATATCCTACACATCCTACATATCCTACAAATCCTACAGATTAAAACATAGTGAAGTAACACCTAGTATTACAGTGAGACCGTTACACGCTTCCTGGTGACACTATCACAACTTGTCACCTTATCAGAAATAAATGGTTCCAGTTTTACAGTTGCAAGAACTTGACTTAGTTTTTTAGTTAGTTCAAGAAATTTCGCTGTTATTTATAAATAACATCTTTGAATAAACATCCTTTGTTATATTATGTGTTTCAAACCCCTAAAAATAACATCACATACGTCATCATCCCACAACTCCTCCAGCGAGCCTAGCTCACGTTAAAGATGACTTGTACTTTACCTACCACGTGATATTCCAGGAACTTACCACGTGACACATAATGTCTTCCTCATAGTCCGGGATTCGATCGAGAGCGCTACTATTTACAAGTGGTGGCAGTGTACGCTATCCTATAATTACATAACGTTCCAGCACACGTATTGTAAAACTTCTCTCTATTAGCTAATATAGAAAGTAAACCGGATCGGTTTCACTTTGCCACACGTGGTGTTCTCTTTGTTGCCAAGCGCACTGTCACGTGCGTGCATCAGTGCACGTGTGGCCGCAGAGCACATAGATAAACCAGTATTGTTGCTTTCAGTTGTTTGTCTTGGTGTTGGTTTCCATCTAAGAAGTTTTACAGTTTGGCTATAAAGTTTATCTAATGCTATATAAATGGAAAATAACAAATCCGGGGGAATTTAAAATTGGTACCGAGTGTGTGGACATTTGGTGACATTACAATTTGTTTCTTAATGCCTTATAGCTTTATAGTGAATCATCTATTTGCAGATTTTCAAAAATTGAAATATGGCTAACCAAGACCCCGTTAAAAGAAAGATTAATTTTCATTTCTCTATTCGAGTTCAGTTTAAAATTCGTTTATTCTATTTAGTTAAGAACATTCAGAATAAAAATGAAGGTTGCAGTCTTGGCGCTTTGCTTGGTCTTCGTAGCAGGTAAGAAATGAATTTAAATTCTAATAATATTTCCAATAATACCCAGTATATGATCTGAATTTCAATCAAAATAGCTCATATACAGATTATGCAGTATCATACACTTCAGTTCGCCAGAGTGATGCTGCTATCAAGTGTGTACAGGGTGACGGGGTTGATCAGACTGCTAAAGTTTGTGATGGTGCCGAAAATAAATGCTTCCAGTAAGTGAATTTTAAACTTTATTCGGACAGAAATGTCAAAGCATTGAAATTGTGGTTAATATTGAAATTGTGGTTAATATCGATTATCGGCGGGGGGGGGGGGGGGGATCATAAGGTTAACGTTAATATTAAAACAATCATTTAAATGATAGTAGGACCGATAAAGTGCCTTTGTATTTTGTCTAGCCTACTTTTACAATTTTTCTCCCAGGCCTAAGTTTGTTGAGTACACAGGGATGTCTGCAGGTGTGACTTATGGTTGTGGGCCTTGTGACGCTAAAAATGTCGCCACTTGTGAAGACTGCGTTGGAAAAGATGATGCTGCCTGCAACATAAAGAAAGAAACAGAATTAGAGTTCAAGTGTCACGACTATGAACTGCTGAAAGATGCAACTAAGCTCACACCCAAGAAAGAACCAACCACCTGCCAAAGACTCACAGCCACTACTATCATGTGCAACATGCCAGGACCATCTTCCGACAAAACTTACACGATGGTGAACAAGGGATGTGGTCCATGCAGTGCTGCGGACAAGACAGCGAAGAAGTGTGAAGAGTGCGAGACAGCTGAGTGCAACAAGCCAGCAACCCCCGCGATAAAGTGTATCCAGGGAGATGGTAGTAAGGATGCTACAGTGTGCACAACAAATTCTGGCGAAGCAGTGCCCACCAAATGTCATCAACCAAAGTTCACTGAATACACCGGATTAGCAGCCGGCCAGACCTACGGATGTGGGCCTTGTGGTGCTAATGACGCTGCCAAATGTGAAGACTGCGTTGGAAAAGCAGACGCTGCTTGCAACGTGATTAAGGCGACTGACACGGACTTCAAGTGCTATGACTACGAGCTGAAGGAAGATAAGTGGACTATGAAGTCGACTGCTGGCACGTGCAAGAGAATGAAGGATACTGCTGTCAAATGTAATATGCCAGGAAAATCTGCTGATAAAACCTACGTAATGCAGAATGCAGGATGCGGACCTTGCACTGACGCCGACAAGAAAGCCACTAAATGTGCAGAATGTGACAAAGCTGAGTGCAGCAATGCCTTCACCATCACTGCCTTCATCGTCCCCCTCCTGGCTACTCTCTACAACCTCCTGTAGGATACTATTTAACTATTGAGTACCTTGAAATGAACTTGAAATGAACTTGAACGACACTTGGAAAATAGGTCGTGATAGAGTCTTGCTATTAAGTATGAACTCGTTAGTACTTATGAATTAATTGTTATTGTGATATTCTTATGAAATTCTTGTATGATTTGTTGTAGCTTTAGACTCACTTAGTTTGGAGACTTGGTATTTCAGACTGTGCCACTGTCAAATGACTATATAATTTTATTATTCTGTATATAGCTGAATCAGTGACTGTCTATTTCTTTTGTAGTGCAAATTTAATTTAAAGTATGGAAGACCATTCGAAATTTTCAAACACATGAAAACGACGCACAGTCGCGGCATCTAGTCTCAAATTTTTAGATGTATAGCTGTAAGAAGGATTCAATTTTCACATTAGGCCCTACTAGACTGTTTTAAGAAACAGGTGGAGGAATAATGAAGCAAAATGAATAATTGTACCGACCGTTCCCCTTTTGGCAAGTAAAACCTTATACCATGGTTTATTTAGATCCGGCACAATTGTTCTTTACCAATGCAAAGGATATTGAATTAGTAAAGTCAACACTCCGCGCATATAGTTGTGAGGACAAGCTACTGGTTCTGCCAATGTACAAACATTGTGCCCAGTGATAAGTGTTTTCTTGGGTAAATTTCTATTGATCCCGTTTGATGCGACAAGGAAAAGGCTCTTATCAGGAAAGGAATTATTCAACGTTTCAATGTGGCAACATCATATTCATGATCTAAAAAGATGATAGTGTGATAAGTGATTAAATCATAATCTTCTTGTGTATAGGGCTGCAATCTGCATACCTATAAGTTGCATAGTGCATACCTGCATACCTACTGGTTCTACCGTTGCTTGGCTACGTTTTCCCTGGTCTGCTATTTAATGCATCCCTCCCATTTCTTTTGCAACAAAAGGAGGGGTTATTATTGTTAGGGGGGAGGCTATTATTGTTAGAGGGGGAGGGCTATTATTGTTGGGGGGGCTATTATTGTTAGGGGGGAGGCTATTATTGTTAGGGGGGAGGCTGTTATTGTTAGGGGGGGGGGGGGAGCTATTATTGTTAGGGGGGGGGGGGGGGCTATTATTGTTGGGGGGGGGGGCTGTTATTGTTAGGGGGGGAGGCTATTATTGTTAGGGGGAGTCTGTTATTGTTAGGGGGGGGGGGGGGGGGGCTATTATTGTTGGGGGGGGGCCGGGGGGGCTATTATTGTTAGGGGGAGGCTATTATTGTTGATTATAGCTCGACCAAGAACTAGTATTTTGTAGAGGAGAGAGAGAATGTTGGATGGTGTTCAAGATAAAAAGAACCCTGGTGAGAAAATAAAACCATTGGATAAAGTTAAAGAGTAACCGGTGGAGGAGGAGAAATTGAAAAGGGTTGAAAAGCTGAAGGAGTGAAAATGGAAGGTCAAAGAGTATTGGAAAATAGAAGGTAAGTGGAAAATAGATATTATAATCCTTGTGCTCATGCACTGTAGGGATGGAGTTAATTAACACTACCTTTCATATGAAGTTTGTCTTCTCCAAAAATATTGACATTTTACCAATTTATGGACTGAAATTTATCGATATTGATGCATATGCCCAATTATGCCCAATTATAGTTAAATTGTTCCTCATAACTCAGCCAGGTTTTGTCCAATTTTGATCAAACTTTAACACTTAAACTGTGTAAATACGTGCTCAGGAGACTAGTAGGTACAAGTCTAGTCTCATCCAAAAATAGGCTTGGTATGAATATGAGTATGAGCCAATATTGAACCAAATATGGGCACCCGGTCCGAGACTCCCTCAAAAGTTCGGCCACAGGCCCTAGTTTGCTGGTCAACCGGCTACCTCGAAATCAAAGCTATAAAAACTAAAGCTATAATTTAAAGTTATAATAGCCTAGCTGTTAACATCTAAAGTTAAAATTTGAAATCTATTATATGTTCACCAGGTGCCCTCAAGCTCTCTCTCTCTCTCTCTCTCTCTCTCTCTCTGGAAGTAGAGTGTATTCTGCACTCTCACCTTCCACTAATGTTCGCTTATAATTTGTATTTGTGTTCCGGTAGCTATTATAGCACTAAATCGAAAAGAATTGCCTTGTGAACACTTCCATTGTAGTAACCTCGTGAATAATACGATAAATACAGCATTATGCGTTTTATTATATAATATCTAAGTACATACTAGGGTCCAATATTGGGGGGGGGGGGGGGGGGGGGGGGGGAGCAACCATATTAAAGTATATTAAAATGTAGGTTTTTTTTTTAATTTTGACCCGGGGATATATACTTTAAAATACTTTAATATGGTTGCGGACTGACAGGCCGAGCGCCGCCCAGTTAATATAATTCCATAATGAATTTGAAAATCGTGCATATTTCTATGTAACCATATTATATGTTTATTGTTTATGCAACCTGACACGGATCGGTGCAAAATAGTAATACTAACTCAAAATAATAATCATATGAGCTATCAATTAGTCCCTTGCGGGATACGTGCATGGTGAAATTAACAATGTACTTGGTCAGTTCAGCGCCGCGCGCCAACAACTGTTTAATTCAGACTATAAAATGTATATAATGATATACATTTTATATATTATATTATGTAGGTATAATATATATTACGTCATATTATAATATGCACTGAGATCAGGGGCGCGGCTGGGGTCTACAAATCATGGGACACTGCATCAGACATACTGAGCTACTAGTCAGTGATCTAGACTTATAGGAACCTGTGAATTGGTGTGTTTTTTAGTGCAAGTACATGATAATTTTAAAAACCTATAATACCCACAATTAAGTTAATAATGATTTGTGAAACTCAATACAACATAGTGCAATTACCGCACTATGTTGTCATATATATATATACTATATACTATATAGCACTCACTGTCTGTACAAGTTGGACCGTTTCACAATGAACTCAGTCGAATGCTGTTCAATATTGATAAACCAGCCCCTAAATGTACATAATGCACCTCTGTGTACTAGATCTCTAGATAAAGGTACCGAGTCTCAGAGTGGGACATTAAGAGGTCGTGCTATTGTTAAAGTGCCACACTTCCCTTTCTTAAACGATGTTGAATGTATTGCTCCTTCCTACTGTAATCTAGTACAACACGAGGCTGTACTAAGCGGGGGGGGGGGGGGGGCAACAGTGCACATTTGCCTCCTAGAGTTGGTACTTACCATGCTTTCATGATAACTATTTTCCCTATACAGTATACGCAGAAGAAAATAAAAGTACATTAATGGTTCTGTAGGGGGATAATTTAAAACATATAAGTAATACGAAAGATACGTTTGTTTTTAAGCAGGAGCTTTTGATGGTTCTACATTTTATGTTCTGATCATGGCGGTTATATTCAACATCTATATCATTTTTGTACACTTGAGAATACTATAATGTAGTATAGTATTAGCAAAGTGTACACAGATGTAATATAGTAAGGTGTACTACTAACAGTCCCTTTATCTTATTTGCTGCACCTTTTAAAGTTATTTTTATAATAATTTTATAATGATAATATGGATTTAATGCATTATATATAATACTGATACAGTGCTATATAATAAAATTTAGAAGTTGGAACTATACTGAAGCGTGGTATTGTGCTAGTTAGAGTCTCGACTCTCGCTCCACTAAAAAATCATAGATCGTTTTCAGCTTTGGTACTTGTTTTTTAGATTAACATTCAAACTGATGTCTTTAAATTGTTAGATAAATCCCAAACATCGAGGCTTTACATATGCATAGTGGAGGCTGCATGAAATCATGCTAATTTTGATAATTTTGCCATTGTCCAGGACTATCTTGTCAACTTAGGTACAGAAAAAGGCATAGATTAACTAACGGTGGGGAGATAATCTTTTGTATATTTTAATGTTGCGCAAGTCGTACGTGGTCAGTGCGATTATTTTTGTACTCGAGTTAATTTCTGTTGTTAGATTTTGTGCACTAAATTACACATTTCGACTGTGCTCATATTATAGTCTCTCCAGCTGTTTAAGTGAAGCTGTTTTGTGTGAAACGTTTTAGTTGTTCTTTCAGTTTGTGATTTCTTACTATAGGAACACCTGTTACGACGAAGGAGTGGGATCACATTATTATAGCGTAGTGATGTATACATCCTGTTCACAGAGTCCTAACAAGGCTAACATTAATGTTTTACTGTATGTTTGTTTGGAGTGCAGTGTTGCAACTGGCATATTGATATCTGTAGTTGATATTTTGTAGTTGTTTCTCTTTAAGCTGCAAATAATTTGTATTGTGTCTTCCTGTCTCCACACGAACGTGGAAGCTACCAATCACCATTATATTATCCACTAGTTGAAACTATACTCTATACAATAATTATCTGTACATTGATATAATACTCGACCTCCGAGTCTACAGGTTCCGAGACTAGACTAGTTCATTCTGGAGACTAATTATAAGTACACTCGAAGGTGAATTTTAATAGTCTTATTTTCCAACAGTAGCATTTGATGTAGCTCGGAGCTCCAGTACGTTTAGTTTCTTGCTGTGCAATGAAGGCGACGGTACTTGCACTTTGCTTGATGTATGTGTCAGGTAAATTGTTCATTTTATCTTCTATTTCAAAAGGTTTACAATTGTAGACATTTCAAAAGGTTTACAATTAATAGCAAAATGTATTAGATAGAATTCAAAGTATTAAAACATCTCATGTACTTACATCTGAATTATGATCCAACTCTCCTCCATCTACAATATTGCCTCAGTGGTTGGTGGTGAGGGTGATGGTGAGTCCAGTGGCAGTGACGAGGAAGTTGCTGTGCCTATAAAGTGTGTACAGGGTGATGGGAGTGATATGGAAGCAAAGGTCTGTGAAGGGGACGATGCAGCAACCAAGTGCAGCCAGTAAGTACAAATTGTTATTATTACAAATATTTTATATAATACCCTAGCTTTAATCGTTTTAATACTTTAATATCCATTTCAAAGTATTTAAATTACAGTTATATTCTCGACGTGACAAGAATTTAAGTTTCAAACAGCGACACTTCGACTTTTGAGGTATTCAATAGATTAGTTATGGTTTACGGCTGTAACAGTAGTATCATAAGGTGAGGACTGAGGGGGGAGGGGTAAGATACACGTGGTCTATGTAATCCTGAATCCTGATTCGTGAATCTCATTCTGACTTGCAGGCCAAGGTATGTAGAGTACACAGGTATGTCAGAAGGGGTAGACTACGCTTGTGGACCTTGTGCAGACGATACAGAAGATACATGTGAGAGCTGTTTAGGAGAAACGGAGACAGCCTGCAATGTGAAGAAGGATACTGATGATGACTTCAAGTGCCATAGTTACGAGTATAATTTAACAGACAAAAAGTTCATAATGAAAGAGGATTTAACAATCTGCAAAAGACTGGAGGGAACTCTAATTAAGTGCAACATGCCCGGAGATTTTGCAGACGAAGATTACGAAGTCAAGAAAAAGGGGTGTGGGGGATGTAGGTACTCGGACAAAGCAGCAAGGGTATGTGCGGAATGCGAGGATAGAGATGTGTGCAACAGAACACCTGTCAAGTGTGTCCAGGGGGACGGTTCTGATGGGTTGGGTAGAATTTGTATACCCGAAAAGTCTCAAGCACCACCCACTGTGTGTAGCAAGTACGTGACATACAAATGTTAGAATTGTTACTTTATTGAAATTTGAGAGTAGACTGTCAACCATCTACGTAGATCTGCATCTGATGGTTCTATTATCTCGAATAACCGATATGTTCAATTTATGTTTATATATAAATATCAATATAAATATCAGAGCAACTTTTGATCAAAAACGCTCGCAGGCCGAAGTTTCTAGAGTATGAAGGTTTCGCAGACGGAACCTACAGCTGTGGAGACTGTGACACTAACACATGTGAGGAATGTGACGGGAATGATGTCACAGCGTGTAACACCAAGATAACCACCGTGGGAAGAGATTTCAGGTGTAATGAGTACAAATTCGATCAAGACAGCAAAAGTTACATTAAAAAGAACATGGAGGAAACAGAGGGAACAGTCACTTGCAGGAGACTAAAAACAACCCCCATGCTGTGCAACAAGTTACTAATCTTACAATTTCAAATCTTAGTATTAGCTATAATATTGCACGTTATCATTGATACAAGGGCTGTGATCATCTTCGGATTGCAGGTTGCATGCCTACGTTTTTCACCAATTTCAAGGCGGAAAAAGTGCAGTATAAAGAATGCACATAATTTACCTAATTATGTTTTTTCTTTTCCTCAATCTATCTTGCTAGGATTTTTTAAAATATCCCACCATTTTAATTTAAGATGGACCACCTTTACTACATTTGTATTTCCAGGCCAGTTGCTAACGATGGTAAAAAAGTACAGTTTTTGGACAACACCCGCTGTGGAGGATGCACAGTTAGTGGTGTACAGGCTGAACACTGTCAACAGATAGATCCGGTGCCTATATTGTGTTTACAGGGAGATGGAACGAACACAGAGGGTCAAACATGTCCCAAATCTGGGGATGATGGCGTGCCAGTCAAGTGCCACCAGTAAAATTTATTCATTTTATCTAACACATTTCCTTGTGAATCGTGATATCTTGACCTGGCCTGTTTCTATATAAACAAACAAACATTTCTATAATTATATTTAAATTAACCCAAACCTGCCCTGTCAGGACCAAGTTTGTGCAATACTCTGGGTTTGCTGGAGAGCTTAGCTACGGGTGTGGAGGCTGCACGCCTGACAAATTGAACACGACGTGTCAGGAGTGCTTTGGAAACACAGATGAGCCATGCAACAAGGAAATTATAACGATTAAACCGGATTATAAGTGCTACGATTATGAATACAAAGAGAAGGAAAAAAAGTTTAAAACCAAAGATGATATGATAACTTGTCAGAGACGAGAGAATACTGCACCAAAGTGCAATATGTGGGTATAATTATAACATATATACCATCTTCCCACAATGTATAATTATAACATAGTTATAATAATAACATATTATTACTATGGCAACATAGTTATAAAAATAACATATTATTACTATAATATGTAACATACTATTACTATAGTATCATACTATAATTGCTATAGTAACAAATTAAAATTATAATCATAATTCATAACGTTTATGATGCAACACACAATAGAAGAATGTCTGGGATCGCAAAGCTAAACTATTGCGAAATTACAGATCTAACTTTGTTATAGATAATGATAACTTTTCAAAAAATGTCACCAACTTTAACATTTCTTCAAAATATAGCCTATTATAAAAGTTCCAAACCTCAGGCCGGGCAGGGAAGCCACCAGCACCAATTACCTAAACAACGGATGTGGAGGATGTACTGCGGAGGAGAAGGCAGCTATGACATGCACGGAATGTGGAAATGTTCAGTGCAACAGAGCTTTTGTTGCTGCCTTCACAGCCATCTTCCTGCCTCTTATCCTAGCCCTCTTGTGAGAACACTTTAGCATGACATGGTCCTGATGTGATAGTAATGTCAGCATGTTTGTTGAACACGTTTTACGATTTCAATGTTTTTATCAACATTTTGTATTTAGATACAATCGAGTGAGTGATATCAGAGATTGTGAGGTAGCATTATACTATTATGTAACGTTGCAATGATAGTCTCGAATAAACTATAATAAAACACTGCTCTCTCTGTATCTAAAAAGTAGCAATTAGTTTAGTAGGTCAAAATGAACCAACGAACCGTTCCAAATGTTGGTTGGCTAAAGCTCTTATTTACAACAAATTGAAAGAAAAACGCTGTCAGTGTCAATAATTATGATGATTCAATAATTATCAAATTCCGAGAAATTGTTTGAGCCAACCAGCTTCTTAACTGCAACAAAAAGACAGTTTTTACTTTTTTATTATATCTTTAATTTATAGGCGAGTGCTCAAATTTGTGATTTAATAAGATCAACAAGAAAAATAATTTTACCCCGTAAATAACTTAACAAATTTTAAAATTCTAAAATTGAATATTTAAATTCAAACAATAATTGTCATCAGAATACAGTGCGCCTGCTACCTGCATTTCTGTCAGAAAATATGGATATTTCTTCTTCTTCTTCTCCCACGCTCTGAAAACAAATTCAGTAATTAGTGTACTTGTATAAACTTGTATAATCAGTGTATAGTACTTTGTGTATAGTACTTGTATAATCAGTGTAACAAAATCAACCCCGAAGTCCCAATTATGATAAGATCACCAGAATGTGGCTCTAAAACAAAAAAAATGAACAGGATAAAGAAGGCAAGATACTAAACGAAAGGCTTTAATGGTTAGTAAAGTAACCTGTTATATTAGTAAACTAACCTGTTGTGACTGCGAAGCTTCGAAAATAGATGTGGTATTACTCCGAAATTGTCCGTCTGCAACAGTAACATTCATCGACCTCATTACCACACCCTTCTTTTTAAACATTTTGTAATTAACCACACTTTGATCACCCCTACTATTAACATGACTTGAATCAACCGCAGAAGTGTTGCTAGTCGCCTTTATAAGATCTGAACTAACGTCTATTCTAATCTTTCTAAAACTGTCGCATGATTTTTCCATCTCAGTGTTTGTGTCCGGCCGTTTGAGCCAGATGCTGTGAGAGGTATCGGGAATTGTGACATTTATTGAACTAGCAGTGGTTAAAACCGGACTTTCACCTGTTTTTAGCCGTTTAGTCACAGATTCTGTTTTTTCCTTGAGCTCCCGTTTAAAAGGTTGACTTGCTGATGAGGAAGTTTCCTGCATTTCAATGGAATAGTTATCAGTGGGACTAGAGGAAGGAGGAGATTCACAAACCCTTCCAGTACTATCGGCATCAGTATTCTCAGTATTTGATGAAGACTTTGCTTCCAAATCTGATCTTCGACAGGTTGAATTATCTTCACTTCCATCATGTGGTTCCAATTTAGGTTTCTTGGCAAAATTGTTGGAAGCAGGGACGCTTGAATTAAGGGCTTTACTACGGTTGTTCGTATTTGAAAAGAAGCTCGATTTTGTTTTGGAAGCAGCAAACGGATTATTTTCATCCTCACTGTCTTCATCACTTTCATCACTGTCCATCAAATTTCTCTTCCTACTAGAGGACGCAACCTTACTGGAATTTTTCGGTAGCGGTTTTGAAGCCAAGGTTCCTGAAGGAGTTGAAATCTCAACAAATGATTTCGACCGTGAATTATCAAACAGGGATACATCTGAACCAACACTAGTTCTTGTAGGAGTAGTCAAGTCAAATCTATCACTAGTTGTCCTCGATGTTGCATGGCTGATAAGTGGTGAAGGAGATGAAGAAGTTTTGAACTGCGTCGAATTTCGTTCAAGAGGGCTGACGATATGAGAAGGCTCAATAGCTGATATATTCGAGCTTTTTCCTGTGCTCATTATTGAATTCAAAGGAGACTTGATTGTTGCATCAAGTCGTGGGGGTACAGCAGATGGTTCAATAAACGTTACTTCTTGCTTGGTACTGAAAGGCGAAGCTAAAGGAGTCTTGATGGTTCTGTCAAGTTTTGGTGGAAAAACAGAAGCTTCATAGAAGGAAATATCTTGTTTTGGTTTTTGAACAGTGAGATCAGGAAGTTTCAAACTTTTTGTTGTTTTAGAACCCTCATCAGGTTCAGAGCACATCTCCGGTTTCATTGTTGATGCACAGCTCTCAACTTTTGTGCTGTTACTCTGCAGCCCTCTCAGAGGAGTCAGAATGGTTTTGTCAAGTCGTGGAGGAACGGCAGATGCTTCAATGGAGGAAACATCAAGAGTCTGTGTTTCTTGAAGCGTGCAACTCATTTGTGAGAAACCTTGCGTATCTTGAATCCTTATCTGTCCTGACTGGGTGGACTGCGTCTCGGAGAACTTCTTAAACAGCTTCGTTTTATCGTTATAGAAAAGTGACAAGATGAGGTCACCATGCTTTGTGGGCACCAGACCTCGTTCAAGAAGTGTTGTTCTCATCAACTTACTGAGCGCAGCATCTTTTGTCTCCATGACAATGGACTCCTCTGAAAGTATAACTTTTCTTCTATCTTTAAAAAGAGGATCCAGCAAGGCAACAGTTCCACCAAGATCCTTCACGATCTGTTCACTTTCTTTTTTATCATCAACACTCATGAATACAAACTGAAGGGGATCAAACAGTGTCTTTCTTTCAGCAATTGGGTGGAATTTCGCAGTTCTCAAAGTTAGATCACTGACAGATGGAATATATTTATTCAGCATAGGAATTTTGATCTTATCTTTGATGGCAGTGTCCAGATCTTTAATAAATGCAGGTGTAAGAATTGTTCGGCAGTGAGACACTGCCTTTATCACCTGAGAAAGAAACTCAGTCAAATAAGAACACCATCACATTACTTGTACGATCCAAATTTGCTTTGAAATGTTCCAATGATTTTAAAATTTGATTGCTCATTGCTGTGGATAAGGTTTTTTTTTAAAGGGTGCCAAGGGTGCCAGCACCCTTGCCTCAAATTTTTTCATCGAAAAATTAAAATTGTCTGAAACGAAAAAAAAAACATATTTTCTTGGGGGGGGGGGGGGGGGGGGGGGGGGGTTAGGATTGAATTGACCATGGTTAATGAGGGTCTGTACATGCTCAAAAGTGGGCCTGTTGATAGCTTGGATGTGTTTTATTACAGTGTAGACTTACTTATATGGGTCTATAAGGTGGAATAGTGGGTCTGTTGATATTGATAGTGGGTCTGTTGTTATTAAGTGTGTGTCTACTCGCTTAATAGTGGGTCTTTGCTACTCTGAAATGGGTCTGTAGATTGACTTGTGGGTCTGTAAGATGAAATAGTGGGCCTGTTGATATTGATAGTGGGTCTGTTGTTATTAAGTGTGTGTCTACTCGCTTAATAGTGGGTCTTTGCTACTCTGAAATGGGTCTGTAGATTGACTTGTGGGTTTGTAAGATGAAATAGTGGGCCTGTTGATATTGATAGTGGGTCTGTTGTTATTAAGTGTGTGTCTACTCGCTTAATAGTGGGTATTTGCTACTCTGAAATGGGTCTGTAGGTTGACTTGTGGGTCTGTAAGATGAAATAGTGGGCCTGTTGATATTGATAGTGGGTCTGTTGTTATTAAGTGTGTGTCTACTCGCTTAATAGTGGGTCTTTGCTACTCTGAAATGGGTTTGTAAGATGAAATAGTGGGCCTGTTGATATTGATAGTGGGTCTGTTGTTATTAAGTGTGTGTCTACTCGCTTAATAGTGGGCCTTTGCTACTCTGAAATGGGTCTGTAGATTTATTTGTGGGTCTGTAAGGTTACAAAGTGGGTCTGTTGTTATTGGCAGTGGGTCTGTAAGGTCAAATAGTGGGCCTATTGTTATTAAGTGTGTGTCTACTCGCTTAATAGTGAGTTTTTGCTACTCTGAAATGGGTCTGTGGATTGACTTGTGGGTCTGTAAGATGAAATAGTGGGTCTGTTGATATTGATAGTGGGTCTGTTGTTATCAACTGTGTGTCTACTCCCCCATGGTCGCCTGGTAACTGGGCTGTGTTTATGACTGCAGTCAGTCAAAGATTTGAAGAGTGGATTAGTAAATATCTGTCATAACATCCAAGCAAACATTCTAGAAGACTTCTATAAATAGTCAATAGTGTCCCCTAGACCGTAGGAAATGTAAAAATCTTAAGACGATGAGGCCTGAGTAAGTCGTAAATTCTGATTGGAGAATGCAGATTGCTGTTGTGAAGTTACCAAATTTACGTGAGTACTTGATTCTTTTCAATCCCAGTTTATTGCTGTCCTACAAATTTCTTAAATGCCAAATGTCGTCTAAAACACCCTGTTTCGCAAAAATTTTCCGGGGGGCTGCGCCCCCCTAGCCCCCGCCAAGGGGCTCCGCCCCTGGACCCTGCTGGGGGCTGCGCCCCCAGACCCCTGCCACAGCTTGCTCGCTTCGCTCGCTGCACAGCTGGATTGGACACGTCGGCTCGCTTCGCTCGCCGACAGCCCCCCTCTAAGAAAAATCCTGGCTACTTCCCTGTACGTGAGTACTTGATTCTTTTCAATCTCAGTTTATTGCTGTCCTACAAATTTCTTTAATGCCAAATGTCGTCTAAAACACCCTGTTTCGCCAAAAAAGTTCAAAAAATTGGATTAAAAAATTTGGTGGTGAACTGTTACTGCAAGCGCAGCTCAGCCAGCGAGCCAAATTCAATGGAAAAGTGGGTCTTTAAACCAAAAAAGTCAGCACCATTGGGTGGGTCTGTGGCACCCAGAAAAAAAAACCTTAGCTGTGGACATTGGTTAATTTGGAATCCACATTCTTTCTGACATAATATTACAACGATGATGAAAATCTAAAATATATGGCTATTTTGAGCATATTATTAATGAATATTAATTTTAATTCAATTCTAAAATGTGCCGTGACATACCACAATATGAATTATAAATGTTACATACCATGATGGTAATAATTCAACAAACCTTCACTGTTGTTGATATTTTGGACATGATCAGAGTTGTGCATGTCTTATCCCATTCTCCACTGAATGCTAGTTGCAATCTTTTAACAGTACCTACAACTTCACGTTTTGCTGTCCCTGAGGTATATAAACATTAAACCAATTCACAGACAATCCAATCTTATCATATGTAGCCAATGGTAGTGTTAACAGATCAACACTGAAATGCGCGTATGTTCTACGTTTAATCCTAATTTGTTTGTCTTTTCGTCCTTAAATTGCCATTTTGAAGATGTATACCTTGGAGGTTTGATACAACAACTTTCATTAGCTCTAATGTCCACACAGTAGGGTGATGACCTAATTTTATTTCCATTCCTGCTCGAACAGCTGAACTTTGACTGGATTCAATCTAAAATTGAGAAACTGGATAAGTTAAAAGTACTAAAGTAAGTGCTAGAATATGATTAATGATACATTACTTAAATTCACATGTTGCTCATCAATTTACTTGTATTTTCAAATTTGTTTATTTTTATAATTTACCAATTTTCAATAGAACTGCAATAAAAATCAGACCAACTGTTACACAGAAGTTTGATAAACTGCTTACCTTCTCTGAGTTGACAAAAGATCCAAACTGGGATGTATCAGTGTAGAGCACTTCCCCATTTATATGATAGCTGAGCTTACCGTGCTGAAAAGAATTTTTGTGAACTTCATGTTGATTTCAATTTTAATGAGTACAACAAACAAACGAAAAGTAAAACTGACTGATTTACAATTAATATACAGAGCAGATAATCAAATAGTTAATATCTGCATGTTGATAAATTTCCTCTTCACAAAATGTGCTGTAAAATAGAAACCAGGGTCGAAGTATAGTCATAACACAGTGAAACTACAAACTACCTTTCGAGACATATTTATGTTCGACATAATTCCAGTGACCTAAATGATTTCTTTCCATCTCCTTATTTTACAAAAATGAAACCCAATATTTTCGAGAAGATTAAATGCAAAGAGCTTTTCTGATCGGCTGTTTCATCTTGTAAACAATTTCTCAGGAGCCTTTGAGTTAGCCTCAACTTAACTTGCTTTAAAGCAATTCATGATCAGATACTAGTGTTCATTCATTTGATGAATCATATTTATAACTTACTATATTGGTAGTAAATAAGTAAAGTCATAATTAAGGAAAATACATGAAAAATAATTTGGGGAAAATAATGACGGTTTGGTCCAAAAATATGGTTTTTTTTTTTCGAAAAACCACTGACTTTCGTACCATTTAAATATGTTTTGTAAGGTATCTAACCAAATTCAAGTTGGTATGCTTACTGATGACCAACTATTGTAACCTGATGCATTACTTATAATGCTTCTCACTACCGAGATCAAAGCAACGCTACAAGTTGAAGGGATCGACATGGTCGTAAAAGATTCAAGACCAATGAAAATAATAATTTATACAATTTTGTACTTACATGTCTGGAAACACCATATTTAATGTCAGCAACAACTACAATATCTGAGTCAGTTTTCCTGCCAATTATGTAATCACATCCTGGCACCAAATAATGTACAGACCCTGCACCAGACAGCACCAACATGTCCGATCCACTTGAATGTTTTTTAGGCCATATCTACAATCCTTACACTGAGAGATAAGTGGGATATAATGAAAAACATCGAATGATTCAAATCACTAATGAAATAGTTATAAATATAATTAATTTAAATTGATCTTTAAATAGGAATAAGGTCAGTTAAGCTATGAAAAGGGCTCAAACCTCCAGTTCATTCAAGGTGAGATTTGCAGCATACCGCAACTACCGCTTCGGCGGGTAGTTGATGCACTGATCACAAGCAAGAGCCACTTTGGTCTACTTGCTGTGGGGTGTCTCAGCTACATGGGTTGGGAGTCCCCCCTTTTTTTATTTGATTTGCAGCATATCTGCCTCAATTTCATGATATCTGCTAGAGCATGGTCAGAAGAACATTTAATCCTGTGATTTGATCACCCGACAATTGACCCCTCTTCAATTCATTGGGAAAAGACAGTTCATTGGCAGTTGTCATATTGTGCTGATTAGGAAACAGATTGTGTGGTATCATGCGGTATTGGTTCTCATGCACCATGGCAGGTGCAGAGTTCCTGACTGAGACAACAATCCCTTGGAAATATTGAACACGGTTTCTTAGCCTCTTACCTCAAAATTTGCAAGTAAGAAGTTGTTAAATGCAAAATAAGGGAGGCCATTCAAAATTCGTTTGGTTGCCTTCTTTTAGGTCAGTGGCATAACGTTGCCTGTTGGCGCCCCCGCCAAAAAAGCGCCCCCCTTTTGGCGCCCCCTTCCTATAATTGAACAAATAGAGGATACGCTGGTAAAATCTCTAAAAAAGTGTGTTTCTAGAGCAAAAAGCGCAGTTTTGTTAGTACCTCAGTTAAGTTTTTTTAAATTTTCTCACATTCAAACGACGATTTGGCGCCCCCCTAAGATGGCGTCCCCCCCCCCCCCCCCCCCCCCCAACACTTGATTTTATTATGCTCTGGAAATTTCATTACTTGATTTAGTTGAATGTATATATTTTTTTGAATGACTTTTTCTTTTTAAAATTGTATTATTTATTTTGTATTTACAATCAAATAATATAATAAAATCATTAACCCCTGTGTTGATGTAATATAAAAATGCAACAAGAAATTACATTTTTAGCACATTTTACAGACATAATAATTTTATGGCAAATCGCTAAATATTCATATTTTGAAGGGTGTAGTAACAAGTTTTATTTGAAGTGGGATAGATCGACATGGGCTTGCAATAATGTTGACTGATGTTACTCGTTAGCTTGAAGAATGTATTATACAATGTGTTCTATAGCAGCACATGACAATTAGTAAGTAAGTAAGTAAGTAAAGATTATGACATAACATCATCACAAGTGTCTACAAAATATCATTGCACTAAATAAAAAAATAATTTAAATAAATATATTCTGGGGGGGGGGCCAACCATATTAAAGTATATTAAAATGTAGGATTTTTCCCGATTTTGACCCGGGGATATACTTTAATATACTTTAATATACCTACAATATACTTGAATATATCCCTATCCTTGGAGGCCTACATCGAAAATTGTTACCCAAAATAAGCTTGAAATGCAATTCTTAATCGATTCCAAAAAGTTCTTGAAAAAATATCGAAAACTGATGGAGTTATTTCAATTTTAATGAAGTCATTTTGGCTAGTATTCCGAACAGAGATATTATGTGCAATTTTCCCAATTTTGTTCATGGAGGTCTTTTTACTTAGTATCCACTATTATTATACTTAGTGGTAGTTTTATAGACCACATTTAATTTATTAACTTATCATACTTAGTATTTTTTTTTGGTGACTGTATCACCCAGTTTTAACATTTGATAATTGTACAGTTTATTGACGACACATTGACTGAATGTTATTTTATATTCTAATTTATATTCTAGATATTTTATTTATTTTACAACAGACGACAACTTCCTGTTTTTTCTTCTATATTAGTTACTCATATCTCTTGTACAGACTTTTTTACAAGGACATTGACAAATGATACTCACATTAGGCATTCATTATTGCATCTAAATTATTTCACTTGCATTAGGCTTAGAAATTTATTCTCTGGTCAACAGATTTCAAATGTTTAATTAATTTGTAGTATGACAGTAAGGTATATAAGAAGTTATTTAATTTTGCTTGGGCTATTATATTGACTAGGTATTGAGGTTTAATGATGATATGGAATTTGAATTCTATATAAATTTACACTATGTGGTTGGGGCATTTTGCATAGTAAATATGGTTACTACTCATATATATCATATTATTTGATTGGTATTCGATTTCTGATTATTTCTCTAGGAATATGATTATTATATCTCAATTTGGCTTTAGGTAGGGTGCCCCGCTAAAAGAACTGGATTCTTCCAGGAAGCATCCCGTGCACAGAGCTTGGTCTACATATATATTAAATTATTAACCATTCATTCTGTATGTGCACGAAAATTTATTTCAATCAATCAAAAACTATATTCAACAAACACTGAGTTAGTCTCATTAAAAAATATTGACATTTTATCGAATTTGGGCAAAAGCGAATTTGGGCAAAAGCGTATGCCCAAATATGGGCATATTTTTTAAAGCTCATAGCTCAGCCAATTTTTGACCAATCTGGATGGAAATTGATGTATTAGTCCTAAAACAGGCTTATCTTGCGAATCTGAGTGAAAAATATAGTTCATCATGTAAATCTTAACGAAGAATATAAATCTTCTAATTGTAGGTATATTAAAGTATATTAAAATGTAGGATTTTTTCCGATTTTGACCCGGGGATATACTTTAATATACTTTAATATGGTTGGCCCCCCCCCCCCCCCCCTATTCTCCATCAACATTAATAATTTACATACATGTTACATGGCGAGATCTCCATCCAAAAGGATTAGTCTGCGTCGACTGCATCATTACTTTGTATTATACAACTTCGGCGGGTAACATTTCTCCATCCCTTTCGGTCTGCAGCTAATCTTCTCATACAATCAATCGTGAGTCCATTACGATCCAATCTCTGCTCAGCATCCTCAATAAATACATCAATTAAGCTCTTCCTAGGTCTGCCTCTTGATCTCTTCCCATGCTTGCGTTTCCATTCAAGTAAATAGTTGGGTAACTGATCTTCAGGCATTCTACTGACATGTCCAAACCAACGCAGCCGTTTTGTTGTTATTATTTCAGCAAGAGCAGTTATTGATGCCCTTCTTAAAACATCCTCATTACTTACTCGATGGAACCACCTCACTCTCAGGATTCTTCTTAAGCAGTACTGATGGAAAGACTCCAATCTTCTTGTCTGCACTTGAGTCGTGTTCCATATCTCACATAATAAAATAATAATAATAAAATTTGGTAGCTTAAACACAAACTCTAAGCCCAGTGGATAAACCACAAAACTTATGCTCTATTGTGTGAAACAAAGATACTAGATCAAGATAACTATCAAGGAGTGTATGCATAGGACATAAAAAGTTTTGGAACGAAGATGACATGCTTGTGAAGCGAGCTAACAGTCTAATTGCTAATAAGTTCAAAAAGATCATGACATCCATAGGTCAGAATGGTAAGAACAGCTGCGATGTAGATTCGCACTTTGTTATTAATGCTTGTGTTCTTATCCTTCCAAATGTTGTTGAGTTGGTTAAAAGCTCCGGTTGCTTTTCCAATCCTGACACTTATTTCTTAATAATTTATCAAATTCAATTTTATTAATTAATAATAATAAATAATAATAAATACAACATTTATAAACCGCCTTATAGCTAAATCATATAACTCGATATAATTTAATCCTGGAGATAAACTCCAGTGCTTTCTAAAGCGGCTCTTACATTAACTGAGCTTAGTTTAATTGAAAATTAGACATGACAAGTTCATTTTACCTATGTAAATGCAAAATCAATCAAATGCTAGAGAAAAGAAGTATGTTTTAAGTTTGGTCTTGAAAGATGTAACTGACTCAGCTGATCTTATGTCGTATGGCAAGGAATTAAATACTTTAACTGCACAGTGACTAAAAGCTTTCTCTGTGTTTACATAGTTAGGAGAGGGCGGAAAACTAAGGTAAAAATAATCATTATCAAGACGTACATTTTTAAAACTTTGCTGCCTAGGAGATATCAACTCTTTTAAGTAAGGAGGAGCTATATTATTTAAACACTTGTAGGCAAGTAGGGCAATCTTAAAATCTATTCTAAATCTAACTGGTAGAAAATGAACTTTCTTAAGTAGTGGAGTAGTGTGTGCCTTTCTTCCTCTCCCGAAAATAAATCTTACAGCAGAATTTTGCACCTTCTGTAAACGACTTAAATCATAAGAGCTCAGTCCAAAATATACGCTATTGCAATAATCAATTCTAGAGAGTACTAGAGCATGAACAAGCTGAATCTTAAGGTTAAAAGACAGTTTTGATGCAATAAACCACAAATTTCTGATCTGAATATTACATGCTTGAACCACTGACGTAATCTGATCACTCATTGAAAGATAACTGTCCAAATACAGCCCAAGACTCTTCACAGTTCCACTAACAACATGTGGCTCTTGATCCTTAACAATCTGTAGAGAGGCTGGAATATTTGTAGTCAAATTTAGAGGATATAACGATGACTTCAGTCTTAGAAGAATTCAGTTGAAGGAAATTGTTTGTCATCCATTTCTTGATATCAGACATACAGTGTTCCATATTGTGCTCTAGCTGTGATGGGTCATCAGAATCAAGAGTGAAATACAGCTGGGTGTCATCAGCATACAAATGAATACAGCACCCATGCATACTTGCAATGTTCTCAAGATCTTTGGTGTACAATATGAATAGCAGGGGGCCAAGGATTGAACCTTGTGGCACACCTATCTCAAGAACAGTTGCTGAGGAAGACGAATCCTTGACTTTGACACAAAATGAACGGTTAGCCAAGTAGGACCTGATCCATGTAAGAGCAATGCCTGTAATGCCATAAGCAGATCTTAGCTTCTTGATTAATCTTGGGTGATTGACAGTATCAAAGGCAGCACTCAAATCTAGAAGTAAAAGAACAACTTTAGTTTTCTTGTCAATAGTTATCAAGATGTCGTTATGGATTCTGGTTGTTGCAGTTTCACAGCTATGAAACTTCCTATAGCCGGACTGAACTTTAGAAAGCAAGTTGTTATCCTCAAGATAACTGGTGAGCTGTATAGATACACACTTCTCAATGATTTTTGACAAGAATGAGAGATTGCTAATAGGCCTATAGTTAGATAGAGATTCACCGTCAAGGCCACGTTTCTTCAAACTTGGACGAATGAGAGCCTCCTTAAGTTTTATAGGAAACTCACCTTTAACTAATGATTCATTGACTATAAATGAGATCAGAGGAAGGAGTTCTGGGAGACACTTGATGAGAATCTTTGTAGGTATGGGGTCAAGATCACAGAATTTGTTAGACATATTCTTTATGATGCTTACTAGTTCTTCATCAGACACATGACGGAATTGTACTATCTTTGGGCTATTAGAAAGAGGAACAAATTCATCTGAGTTAGGAGAATCTTGGGATTGTTGTTCTAAATAAATGTTGTTGTATATGTTGTCGACCTTTGATTTAAAGAACTGTGCAAAGTTGTTAGCACTCTCAAGATTCGAAGAGCAAGAAGGTGTAGTAGTACTAACTTTTTCTTTATTGAGCAATAATAATAAAATATTATATATCTGATTGTTGATATTTCATATTATATAATATTGGTAGCAGTGGACAGTTTCCGTTACCTCTGTATTGTGCTCTGCCAATTGCAACACTTGAATTACTTTATTGTATATATACTGATTGAAAAAATATAGTACATTATCTATAAATAATTCATTTATACTTCCCAGTGGAATAAAGATTTATAAAACGCTTCTTTCCCACAAAAGGATGAAACCAAAGATATTCATTATGTGTCTCCTTATTGCTTAAATAACTGGGTCCTTCAATTTTCCCTAAAACTTCATTCGAAACATTCCAAAAATAAAAATCATTTACACTGTTTTTAGAAAACATTTCCTTCTTAAATCCTTGCAATCTAACTTTAAAGCTTAAAACTGTCGAACAGTTCTTGACATCTGAAGGGAGTTTGTTCCAGTAAGGAATGACTCGCTCCGGAAGAAAAGAAGACTGGAGATTCTTAACTTTAGTTACACTCTTACTACACCTATTGGTTGAAACTAGATTAAGACCAGATCTGCTCATACTGAACAAAGCAGCTCCGTAATGCAGGCCAAACTACTTATCATTTTAAAAGATTCGATGAGGTCCCCACGTATTCGCCGCTCTGTCAGCGCTGTTAAATTGAGGATTTCCAGTCGACGACTGTATGGAAGAGTACCCACCTCGTCAATCAGACGGGTTAATCGCCTCTGGACGCTCTCCAGCTCCAAGATGATCCCCAACTTCCATGAGCCACAACTGGACTCCACAATTGAACACAATACTCTAAATGGGGTTTATCAAAGCTTCGAAGTAGCGCGCGCCGCTTTCTTCTCGAAATGGCCCGATGGCAATTGACCATTGTTAATGATCTGGCCCGGCGCAAGTGCTACGAAGTAGCGCGCATCAGGCTTGATCATTAACAATGGTCAACCATGTGTTTGCTCTAACCAGAGCTTAATTGATGATGTCAATTCATGGCAGCTCGGCGCGGCACAGTAGCGCATAGCTCGCCGATGTCGCTGTAAGAAGCCTTATTGAGTGCGCGGCGCGGCACAGTAACGCATCGCGCTACAAACCAGCGCTTACCTGAGGACCCCAGGCTTTAATGTTGGCTAATAGTAGAGATTAGGCGGAATGACAGGCTGAGCGCGGCCCAGTAAACCAGAGCCCTCTCGATTGCAGTGAAACAAGCGCGTCACGCAGTACGCGTATATTGTCAAACGTTGTATGACCCGCCGCACACGAAGTGCGCGGCTCCCGCCTCCCCCTGTATCGTCAGGACGATTTCAGCATAGTGAAACGACCGTGGGGGTCGCAACGTGATACAACGCGTATACACATGGCTATGTGTAACCATGTGTAGTGAAACTAATTTTTAGTGAAACAAATTTTTAGTGAAACAAATTTAAAATTTTATCCTTTATTTTACAATCATAATATAATTTGTCATATATTATATGACCCGCCGCGGACGAGTGCGCAGCTCCCCCTGTATCGTCAAAACTTTATAGTGAAGCGACAGTGGGGGTCACCACGTGATACAAAACATAATTTTGAAATTAAGTTTTAAATTTTGATATATTCACATTTCTATTTCAAATTCAATTTTATGTATAAGTAACTGGCCGCCAAAGGCCCAAAGCCGCACATTCTTAAAAACAGGATTAACTTGTTTATTTAATTGACGATGTCAATTCATGGCAGCTCGGCGCGGCACAGTAGCGCATTTCGCGGCACAGTAGCGCATCTCGCTGATCTCGCTGTGAGAAGCCTTATTAAGTGCGCGGCGCGGCACAGTAACGCATCGCGCTACAACTTGTTCATACAGTTATACGACAACGTAAATTTAAAACTATCGGCCGTGGCTTTTACATAAGTCCAAAGCCACACAGGTCCGTATTGCCTGGTTTAAGTAACGGAAAAACCAGCGGTCAGCTATCGGAATATATCGTTTAAACAGCGGAAGCTAGCGGATGGCTAGCGGAAACTAGCGGACGCCTAAAGGAGACGCTCTAAAATGCAGCACTCATACTTAGCGGATGACTAGCGGAAGCTAGCGGCGCGGACGCCGCGCACAAACTAGCGGATATAATAGTGGTGTACATTTCAAACAAAAATGATACATTATTCACAAATTTTGAAATGAAAATGAATTTCAATTCTTTTAGTTTTACCAAATTCAAAATTTTAACTAGGAATTTACATATTTCTTCAGTACTGTTGCATTAATTATATATTGTTTAACACTTGCAGAACAGTTTCCTTTAGAAATTTGCGTACCAGTACTTCAACTTAGTGGATTCGAATAATTTCGTTGTGCTTGAACAAAATTAGTTGTTTGTAACGTTTAACTGTCTACCAGAAACATGTCATTCATGACTAGACTGACAAGGGATATTGTTGAGAGGGCGGAGGCCAATCAACCCCTATCGACTACAATGTAAGTAAATAAAGCTTGACATAAACTCTTGGTTGAAATATTCTCAAAACAGTAAATTTGTCAGTTAATTGTTACATCATAAGTGAATTATATTTATCCCTCCAGACCGTCGAAAAGGAAAACAGTAACAACTGTTATACCTCCGCCCAAGGAGGAACATGCAGAATGTATTCGGAGGTAAGATTATGCGGGTATAAATTGAAGATTTTGTAAAAGTTGCCGGAAAATATTTGAACAAGTTACAAGTGTTACCATTCCTATCTTAGTAAACAAATTTATATCATCGCCAGCAGATTGGACGAAACCTCCGACCGAGAGTGTGAGACTCCAGGAGTGACTCCGTCCGCTAGAGCATGGGAGGCGACACCTAGCTACGCTACAGCCATGACACCAGGACATGCTACTCCCGGCGCTATGACGCCAGTGTCCACTGCTAGGAGACACAGGTTATTGTTTAAAACCGCATTTTTTAAACATTTGATTTACCGTCAAGAATCTCCATCGGTAACACTTCTTCATAATACATATTTCTCATTATATTGTATGTAGGTTGACATACATATTATTCCAAAATCAGAATGGACACAGACATGGCATCCACATCCCACTAGTCCACCCAACCATCGACCCCACCCCACCCCACCTCATCGACGCCAACTTGCACATCGACGCCAATAATCAGCGTCGAAGTGCCGATACATCTCCACAGAGTGGAATTTTCTAGTTTTTTTTGTGGCGTAAGGAACACGTATGAAACAAATTCGGAGGGAAAGGAAACATTTAAGGGGGTGAAGGCCAACCTTCTCAAGGTCTCCTATTCGGAGAAACTAATATGGAGGTAAGTATCGTTGGTTCTATGTTAATAGAAAGTAAGACAATACTCTATCAATTAAAAAACCTATCAGATGAATGTAAATGTTGAAGGGTTGACTGGAATATTTCTCAGCGATATGACCAACGCTCTGGCGACTTTTGGATCAAAGAACAGTGCCGTTGTCAACGATGTAATTAGGAAATACATTACTGGTAATATATTAAAAGTTAGTCTCATTTTTTCAAAAGCTTCCTCTGACCCCCCTGCCCCCACCCCCTGCCCCCCCCCCCCCCCCCCCCCCCCCCTTATTGAAAGCTGAATATGCATCTACTCACAGACAAGTCAGGGAGCTCCTTGACCCGGCTGCACATAGATGAGGTGGTTAGGAGAACCGCGGCCAAGGAGAGCAGCCGGAGGCAGAACCTGAAGAGGTTAGCTAAAAGGAAGCTCACAAGAATGACCAGTGCAGCGAAGTCTCTTAAAGAGCAGAGAGACAGCCTCAACGAACGTCTACGGATGTTGTAGTAAGTAAAATGTAGAATCGGGGCATCATTGTCAGTATTCAACACATTGTTTAAAATTATCATTGTCATAATTTCTAGCAATACCTATTTTCAGTGACGAGGAGGAAGCCATGAGTTGAGCATGGCTCTCGAAAAGTTTAATAGGCTAAAAACTATGAGATATATGATATATAAACAATGTGTAAATATTTAGTTTTTTAACACTGATTCTACAAGACCTTAGTGTTCGCAAATTATCGTTGAATAATTTATGTGATTTGAACTATTTAACGTTAATTGCTCAGAATAGAGTTAAATGGAGAAGTATAACATATTTCGTAAATTTTGTAAATATTCAGTTTTTTAAATGTACGGGTATCGGCCTTACAAAATGACACGAAAAAGGAGATGGCTCTGAAATGCACAAAAATGAGTTTTGTTCATGTTTTATTATCCAGATAGGTAGTTCAACAGGTATATTTTTCTTCCCGGGGGTTGATTTGATTGAAAAACCGTAAATTTTGCGATAAAAATTGTCATCTTTGAAATCTTCCAAAAAAACATGCCTTACAAAATGACAATTTCGTTTCGGCTGTCATTTTTTAACAGCAGCCTATAGAAATTTGATTTCACCTAGGACAGTTAGATAAATATAATAGATTGTAGATTAGAATAGCTTTTACAGGAAAAAGGATGATTAAAAAAAGTTGGGCAATTTTGCGTGAGATAGTGCCTTACAAAATGACAACCCAAAACGGCATCACTTCAAATCCGATTTGGGAAAAAGTTTCATTATTCTTTCACGTGTCTTACTGTTAGATATATATGTTGTTTATATTATACCAGTTCTGTTTTTACCAGAATATATTAAAAAAGGAACATTTTTTGTACTTTGAAAAAATTTTAAAAATGTCATTTTGTGAGGCGTAAAAATCATTTTTTGTTTTCATACTTGAACACAGTATTTGGTTATATTTGATATTTTCTATGACTGGATAGATCACTTTTCAATGTTTAGTTAACGTTTGACATGTTTTAGGAGTTGTTATTACTCTCTGCTTTCACAAAATAGAAGCTTTATTTCGTTGAGTTTTTAATTCAGAGTTTGAAATCAAAGAGTTTGAAATCAAAGTTTTGATATCAGAACTGCACTTTTTTAATGCTACTTGATTGTTAACTGTCAGATTATGATTATTTTTAACTTCTTCTTGTACGGTATATTCTTCGTTTAGATTTGCAAGATAAGCCTGTTTTTGAACTAGTACATGAATTTACATCCAGTTTGGTCAAAAAATGGCTGAGTTATGAGCCTTAAACCATATGCTCATATTTGGGCATACGCACCAAATTTGAAAGCTTATGCTCAAAATTCGATCAAATTTCAATATTTTTAAATTTTTTATGTGAAAGATATAGCTCAACATCTGTTGAATAGTGGATACACCTCCATATAGAGACGGCCATGAACAAAATTGTTCATATAATATCTCAGTTCGGGATACCAAAATGACTTCATTAAAATTGAAATAATTCTTATCAGTTTTCGATATTTTTGCATGAAATTTTCGGAATCGATTATTAATTTCATTTCAAGCTTATTGTGGGCAGCAATTTTTATTTAGACCTCCAAACAGATAGGGATATATTAAAGTATGTTAAAGTATATCCCCAGCCCTAAATCGGGAGAAAACCTACATTTTAATAAACTTTAATATGGTCAGCCCCCCCCCCCCCCCTCCAAGTAAGTATTAAGTAAGTAAAAATTATGACATAACATAATCACACATGTCTACAAAGTATCAAATCACTATATGGAAAAATATAAATATCTTAACCACCAAAATTAGTAAATTATTAACTACAACTTTAACGGCCAGGTAGCGCAGTTGGTTAGCCAGCTTTGCAATCGTGAGGTTGCGGGTTCAAATCCCACTGCCTGCCTGGTCGTGGGGTGAGTGTCGTTGACATTCAGCTAAGGATCGTGAGTGGTCTATGCAGCCCCCCCCCCCCCCCCGGTCTACTCAGCCGAATACTCGAGAATTCGGGTGTGAGGGTTAAATGAGGAGCTGCACATTGCAGCAAAGTCTCGGGCGAAGAAAGTATGGTACACACTACCTTAACCGTCACTGGCTAAAACAAATCCTTCGGCTTCCTGTAATTGGCTGGTTGCACTTGTGTAACAATATGGCTGTTGGAATACTCCGAAGTAAAATAAGTGTCTAGATAAAAAAATTAAAAAATTTCAAATAAATTCAAAAAGCATCCCCAAAAGATAACCCTATTCATACTTCCCAGTGGAATAAAGATTTATGAATCGCTTTTTTGCCACAAAAGGGTGGAAATAAAGATAATCGTTATGCTTCTCTTTATTACTAACATAGCTAGGTCCTTCAATTCTCCCTAATACTTCATTTGAAACATTCCAAAAAAGTGAATCATTAGAAATATCCTTAGAAATCATATCTTTCTTAAACCCTTCTAATTTAATATTAAAACTTAAAACAGTCACCGAGTTCTTAACATCTGGAGGAAGTTTGTTCCAGGAATAACTCGCTCTGGAAGAAATGAACTTTGGAGATTCCTAATCTTTGCCATACTCTTACAACATCTGTTGGATGATACAAGATTAAGACCAGATCTGCTCACTTTGAACAAATCTGAGCCGTACTCGGTCAAACCATTAATAACCTTAAAAGCTTCAATAAGGTCCCCACGTATTCGCCGCTCTGCCAGCGTTGTCAAATTGAGAATTTCCAGTCTACGGCTGTAAGGAAGAGTACCCACCTCTAATGCTAACAGTTAATTCTATTTAGCTGACAACATGATCGAATCATTGGACTGTTTTGCGAATTACGACAAGTTTAACCAGAAAGACCAGAAGCGCTTAGAAAGTGCATTACAAGACGGTACTTTAGTGTTTCCCAAGTCGTTTAGCCCCACCAAGAAAGTTGCTTTTGTTAAAGCTTCCAAGCAGCATTATGTAGGGATGATTGTGGGAAAGAAAGGTAACTAATTATATTTGTATATTACATAAGTTATTGAATATTCATTCATGTTGCAAAGTTTTATAATTGAGTTGAATGGAAATAATTTAATTTTAAATCTAGTCTTCAAACCTGCAAAAGAGGTACAGTGCAATTTATTGCAGTAATTATGCAACGTGTAATTATTTGTTCTTTCTCAGGAACTAACATCATGCAAAAGCGTAATCAAACCAACACAGATGTACAAAATCCTCAGCAGGATGATGAACCTACCTTCCGAGTATATGGAGAAAGCTACAAGGTACAAATTGTACTGAAATTTTAATTTGAAAACTCTATTGTAAAATTGAATGTCAGAAGGTTTTGTCTTTTCATGAAATCAGACTTGGGTGAATTATCAATAAGTAATACCTTGCTATCAAATTTTCATCCATTTATTTTGTCTCTGGTTTTCCCCTCGATAGGGGAAATCATAAAATCATCTTAAAAATCTTTGCACCTTTTTATTAGATAGAGATTCCCTCTATTAAAATCACCTCTCATAGGATTTGGCTGAGATGGCACTTTGGATATTGGAGCAGGATGACAGACTAAGTGGAAAAGATTCTAACAACGGGAGATTTAAAACGTAGGATTATGTTATCCGCTAAGTTATAATGTCATTGATTACAAATCTATAGAAGGACTAATATACTGTTTCCTATATGAATTATGATACTTTGCTTGATCAAGCGTCATAAGAATTAATAGTATTCTCAGTGATTGTGACTGTTGTTCCTATAACTTAGTATAATAACGATGTGATTGTAATTACAGGGAGGCGCGTATTTGGTGTTGTCCAAAGTATGTGGGATTGTTGGTAGGACCCAACGGTGGAACAATAAGGCAGATCATGGAGGACACTTCCTGCAGTATTCAGTCACCACCACGAAATGAGAAAGTAAAGTTCTTCAATCTCACTGGTAAACATTAAATTCCTATTGATAAAAGTGCAATTTAATTTCAAGTCATGAATTCGAACTATAAAACTCTTTTACTGTAACCGGGAAATAAGGATATTGTACACCTTCAAGCTACTAGCCAATATCATAACATACGTTTTTAAGACTTGACAGCAAAATCAATCCATATTATTCCGCATAATTATGCGTATTATCTAGGTTCTGTGGAGGAGATATCAATGGCATTTGCGGAAATGGACTACTTGATAAAGCAGAAATACAACAATGACCAGTCCGGATACTACAACTCCAACAAGACCTGTGACTGTGTCAATGTGAGTGCAAACTCCTTATCTCAAATTTATACATAATATGAACCTTAACAAGAATTTCGACGCGGTTAAACCACGCACGATCAATTTTCCCTACGATGTACTTGTATTATGTACCATTAATTCTTTCGAGTGAAAAGTGTGACTGGAAAAAAGTGCAACATATTTATGTATTATGTTTTTAATAAATGAGTGGGATTCGCGCATGGTAAAAATTGACGATTTATTTGACCAATGAAGCGCCGCGCGCATCAACAATAAATGAATCCAGAAAATTGCGGAAAATAACTTTGCGAAGGAGGATCGTCACTGTAATTAATTGACACATGGCTAGCGTTGCGCGCAGCATAACAGACGCTTCCAATACACATAATTATAGGGGAGTGGTCTATATTGCGAAGGAGCAGACTTATGTCATCATCGTAGGACCGTCGGGCCACCTCATGTATCCAAACCCGATTACTTATTCCCTACGATCTTTTTGCCTTCGGCAAGAGTAGGGGAAAAAATGTTCACCCTTACGGTATATTTCCCACCATCTCATCCGATCAACTTCAGGTTTGTGAAAGATTAAAATTGTTCACCGCCGAAGGGGATGGACCAGCCACTCAACTCTCTCACCTGAACATGCCACTTAACATGCCTAATGTGAACACAATGAAGAACACCTCCCCACCCATACCACCTTCACCTTCCAACAAAATACCTTACAACAGCCCTTACATCACCCCAGATCAGTTAGTCAGGGGACAGTACGGAGATCTGGAGGGAGACTTCAGTCAGGCTGCTCGTAACAGCTCTGGTATGGAAAACACCCCTTCAATACGGGGTTCTAGAGTATTCTCTGGAGGCAATAACAGGACTAGGAACACTAGTCCCAACTACACGCCCCAACCTCCAATCCCATTCACCGCCGGAACAGATAACTCCGGCAGTCCGCCGTACAGCAACCAACAAACTCAGCTATCATATAATAGCCATCCTAACAAGGAATTGTTGGATTTGCTCAATCTGCAGAACTACAATCTGAATTTCAACGAGGATCTTGTTCGGCTGCTTCCTCTCCTTCTAGAGTTTCAGAATCATCAGATGAACCAGAGTTGTTCTCCTAAAACTGCGCCCTCTGTCAATGACAGATCAAGTCCTTATGCTAATCAATCCTTGGTGAATGATTTTGTCAACTCTCCGAAGAATACCAACAGGTGAGTTCATACTTGCAGTGCTAAAACTGATACTGAAATTCTGAAAGGAGTATTTTCTTTTCCATTTGTTTTTATAGTAACGAGCGTTAAGTTTTCCATTTATCTTTGGCAAGCAAAAGTGTACCGAATATCGTACTGATATCAAATACTTTTGGGATGCGTTATTTCGCCCTAATTTCAGATTGCCTGAGACAACGAACCAGTGTCCTGTTGACATATTGTCCGAAATGTCTCGTCTCGCACTCAATCCTGGAATGTAAGTTAATTCTCCGTGATCTCTCGCAATATTCCATATTCTTACATTTTCATTGATACTTGATTGATCATAAATTTCACGATTATAAGAACATGTATATTAGAAATATGTATATATTAGAAATATGTATATTAGAAATATGTATATATTAGAAATATGTATATTAGAAATATAGACTTTCATATTCTTTTAATGTGACCAAAAGATAAACTTGAAATCATTTGCAGGAACGGAAGAGAAACGATTTCACGTCCATCACAAAACGTCTTTGACGGTATCCACTTCGCTTCCTTCTAAGAAGATTCGAGTACTTCTGCTGTTCCAAAAACACTACACTGTCCTTGATCGTAATTCAAAATTCAGTCGTATATGAATTCATTATTGACGAGACAACTTATTTCCTGTTTAAATTTATGTGTTTGCCTGATCATTATTTGACTCCTTGTGTAACCAAATAACCACGATAGAGAACTATTTATTTGCTTAATCATGATCATAATTATGATCATTGATCATGATCATGTGTTAAATTTAGAGTTTGAGTTGACGCTAATACCATAATAATTCGTATTTTTCAATATTTGTTTAATGTTTATTTATTTATTACCTTATCGTTATTCTTTATCTAATTTAACCCTATTTGAGTGTTTAAGTTGCAGTTTGACGTTATAATTTATATTTAATGAACCGACCAATTTCTAGTGAGACAATACTATGTCTCAGAGAACTATTTGTGTACCTATTCTGCTATGACATACCACAATCCGATAACGTTGAATCATGATTCATCCAGTTTGTTAATTTGCTTTACTATAACTTGAGTAAAGGGGGAGTAATACAATTTTGATGTCTTAATTTCTCAAAACACTTGTCCGATCAGATCAATTTTTTTAAAACCGGCACTACCCCTTTACTTGGTTAATTATCATAATTACTGTTTTTGTTCAAAGTTTCTGGAACTTTTACTGCAGCAGTTACTATACGATTTGTTTAATCTTGCCTTGACGGCCTTCTCCATTAACTGCTGCAGCTCTGTTCTCATTTGTTATAAAGTTGTACGTGCGTATAACTATTCATCTCGATGAATGGCGGTTAGTATGTTTGCGTTCCGGATCGGAATGTTACTAATCGTTCGCAGCAAGTAGCTGGAGCTCTTTTTCTTAGGATGGAACTGGTTTTAACCACATTCCCGCCTAAGAGTAGCTCCTTTACTTGTTTGCAAAGTAGTCACTTTAAGTTTTACATTAAAACCCTGAGAAACTGGACCCCTTGTAAAAATACTGCGCTCTGAGTGTTCCCACAAAATTTTGGAAATAATTAAAGGTAGCAACTTTTCTCAGCCCAAGCAGGTTTTATTTAAAACGTGAGAACGATTCCTGTAAATGAAGAGCGCAGTTTTCTTGTCGCACGTTGTGTGTTTCCTTAACCGTGCGCTTCAAGCCGGCCGGCGGTGCACGGTTAACGATCCGCAGAGCGTGAGGTGAAGGTTTTCCCGGGTTTTACTGTATTTAACGTTTTTCAAATATTTTAATTTCCTTTACTAGTCACCCTCTGACCAGTTTAATTGTTTAACCAGTAGAAAGACAGTATTTCCGATTATCTGTGTATCCAATTTAATTGCCCTTTGGCTATTTTGGTGGATGATAATTGTTTCGAATCTTGATGCTGTTGAATTTATCGGTAATTGTTCAGAATCTAGGGAACGAATTGTTGAAAAAAACGATTTTTTAAAAATGTATCCAAAAATTTATTTCTGATAGTTTAGCGATGAATCTTAATTTCTTCTTTTTATAGTGACAGTTCAATGTTTGTTTTTCATTTTAAGTGTACTTTTTCTAATGAGATTGACATTTTCTATCGCATTATGTAAGCCATTGCATTATTTATTATAATTTATTAGTTTTCAATGAATTGTCTGTATTACTTGTTCCTACACTAGCAATCAAAACGATCGAAATCAATCATTTATTAATTTGAAGAAATTTTAAATGTGACTAATGCAGTGAAAGTTCTCCCCGTGAAATTTGAAAAGTATTATGAGACATGAGTATTGTATGGGTAAGTTTTGATCTTTGGTAAGCTGCTTGCACTGTGCTTTCATTTGGAGTAAAGAATAAAGATGAAGGTTCGTGTTAGAATAACAAAATTGGATATCACTATAACTCTAACTCGATAATAGGCTGGTGCAGTCAAGGAGGTGGTCCGCAGATTGCGTGATGCCCACTTCTAAACATCTGATTTTCCGTTATCAAACATAACCTCCACTCAATCACTGTTTGGGCGCATAAATTCGAATATTTCAAAGTTTTAAAGATAACGTTATACAAAGCACGTTTAAAAGTATTCACTGTAACATAAAGTTTCGCGCCAAGCCTTGCGCGCCGGTTAAGTTAATAAGTTGGTTAAGTCCATCATATCACGCGCGTTCGCAATTATTTGTTATTTTAGACCCCTCCATCACACGTGCAAACTGCAATCGTGCTTCTGGCGATATAACGATTGCATATCACTTCTGCTGATAGCTTATCTACAGAGACCTGATAGGAAACTTAACGTTTCTTCGCAGCCTAACCCCATACACTAAGAGAGATGGGATTCGAACAGGGTGTAATAATTGATGTACAAATTCTGGAAGGGAGTGCAGCGAATTCAAAATATAAAGGGGCCGGCCGCCGGTGATGTGGAATGATTTAGAGTTCGCTTAAGGGATTTAATGTGATCTTCCCATGACAGGTTCTGATCGTCAATTATAACTCCCAGGAATTTTGTGGATGAAACTTTTTTGATTAGAAAGTTGTTTTAATACTTTCAACACTACTATATAGCAAATAATTTGAGCATGAATACTGCCGTTTTCTGACAAAAGTGCTTAAGTAACATTTTGGAAATTTTGGGTTTTTTGGTCTAACTTTTGTTTTTGGGTCAAGAACTATCCCTGAGGACCATTGGATACATTCGCCGACCCCCCAAAACCCCCTTTTTGGAACCCCCTAAAATGCAAAAAATGGTAATTTTTCTGAGAAAAGTGCTTACGGTAAGTAACATTTTGGAAAACGGGTGCCGTTTATTTCAAAAATGGTGCCATTTTGGGAACTGAAAATGGTGGCATTGTTTTCTACGTCAAAAACTGGCCTAGTGACGGCAATTTGGTGATCGTGGGTCTTTTGGCCTGGGAAAAAACAATTTATGTCACTTAAGCACTTTTGTGAAAACGGGCTCGTTTTCTCACAAAAGTGCTTAAGTGCCATTATGCGTTTAATTAAATGTTGATTCTGCCAACTGAAACTATATAATCGGTACTAACAAATCTAAATTTTCACGGCAGATCGATTGGTGATGGTCATAAACTTCAGAAACGCTAGCTTCGCCGTCAAAATTGCCGATTTGTCAATGCAGAACTTTTCAAAATATACGTCATAATTTGCTTTAAAATTTTTTATTCTCTTATAAGTTGAGACTGGCGGGATTATCGACAGGCAAGGGAACATTACCAAAGAGATAGAAGCAATTTGCTTCACTGCTCAGTGCTCCTTCTCTGTTGATATGGAGAAAGTTCTTTTACTACCACACATGCCGGAGTACAAGGAGGCGATTTTTACAAGACGCCTTGTCACATTTAAAACGAGACCTTCGCGAGGCTGGGGTCAGACGGAACTCCTTTACCGATTCTTTGGAATGAGTCAATCGCAGGAAGGAAAGATGAGAATGTGTCCTCGACTTGGATAAGGGCAATAAAACATTTTGCCAGTTGGCAAGATTGGTGGTAGCAAGGAGATCATTTTTTCGGCAGACAATTGTTCTGCTCAAAACAAGTGTTGGACTTTATTTACTGCCCTATGTTCATCAACAGCCCAGATGTTGACCTGGACAAGATAACGGTCAAGTATCTAAAGCCAGTGCACACCTTTATGAGTGCAGACTCATTCCACCATAAAGTGGAGTTGTCCATTAAACAATCAGGTCAACTTCATGATTATAAGGACTTTGTTCAGGCAGTTGAACAGGTGGGTACTGCGATAAGCATGAACTGCACAGACTTTGAATCGTGGCCAAGGTCCTACGGAACAAGCAACTAAAAAACTAAAGATGTTAAAGTTGCAAGTTTCCAGCGTGGGTCTGTAGAAATGGAATGGAAAACAAATCATGACGAGGTTTCCTTTCAATTCACTCCATTTCTCAGACAAAAAGACGAGAGACTCATTTCCTTAGGTTGCAAAATAGCTTTCGCCCAGGAAGAGCCCCGGGGGATAGCTACTCCCAAAAAACAAGACATTATACGTAAACTGTGCAGGCTTATGGCCCCGAGTAGTAGGGTATTCTGGATGAACTTGCCTGATAGTACAGCTATATTAATATAACAGATCTTAATCGAGTGTTTGACTAAAAATCATCTATTTCTTGTATTATTTACCATTTATTTATGTACAGCATTACTTACAATTATGTTACATTTTTATACGCTTGTTTTTCTTTGCCTCGCGTTACGATATCAATAATTCGCAAATCATTGGTCTTTATGAAGAAAGCCTCATCTGAGTTCTTAATTTAATTTTTAAAGAAAGAAACTTATTTATTATTATCCCGTACTTTCACCAATCAACTCTTCGTTGAAATGCTGGTAGAATTTCGACTATGTTTTAATCCGCTGGGGAGAAGGGAGTGTTTTCGTGTTCTTAAACCACCACCAATCAATTTGTCGTAAAATTTTAGGTCAGAATGATCGCAGATAAAGTTCCCACTAATGTGGCTGTACTTAAGCACTTTTCTCAGAAAACGAAATTTTCTATTTCAGCGTGTCCCCTATTTACAACCAATGTTTCATCACAACAGTTTTAGGCTAATTTTTCGTTTTACTTTCGATGACCAATGGTTTGAACGGGTCATTTTTATCAGAACATGTAGTATTTGCCGATGTGACTGTACTTAAGCACTTTTCTAAGAAATTCAAACTATAATTTGTGATTTTGAGGCACTTTCCGAGAAGTTAGGATGATGAAACCTTGACAGAAGTCTCAAAAGTCGACTAAGTACCTTAGAAACATAGTGGGTGCAGTTTAAATTAGACAGCAGCTAGCCCAGAGCAATTACAGAATTGAAATCTTTAAAGTCAATTTGCACAAAATGAACCTTGTGTTACTTAAGCACTTTTGTCAGAAAACGGCAGAATAAGAAGTTGTTACTTTGAAACGTCGTTTATCCTAACAGTGCAATATCATTTGTCGCAAATCAGAATAATCAGAAACTATTTGGAAAAACCCAAAAACTGTCTAAAGTTGTTTATAGTTATAGTACAACTTCAGGGTCTGATAAACTATCTCTGACTTAGAACCTACCATGGGGGGCTTGGTAATCGTACTGTAGTGCGACACGTACTCTAGTGCGACACGTACTCTAGTGCGACACGTACTCTAGTGCGAAGTCCGACAAAAACACCCTTTGTCGCACTACAGTACGTGTCGCACTACGATCCAGGTAGCGTACTCTAGTGCGACAAAATATCCTAACTCATTTCCAAGTTCAGGTCACATCCTATCCTTCTTATGGACCATTAATATAAGTGATTCGTCGGGTCGGTTCACGTCACTTATTTCGAAGTGATCTTGCGAATACGATTCGTCGGTTCACATCACGTGTTTCGAAGTGATCCACTATCATAATTCCTTCGGGTCAGTTCAAGCCACGTATGCATTGTGTGATCCACTGGGTAACTCGTAAGCAGCATATGATCCTCATTCCTATCACACGCATCGTATGAAGGTATATATCCGATTGGGATAACAAGTTCATATGCTTGGGCCATATATAAGGTCACGATGATTCTACCAAAGCATCGAACAACATCAACATGTCTGATGACTACATCAGAACGAACAATGGCGAAACCTTCCTTCTTTGGGATTCTGCCTACTCAGCAGAGGGAAGAAGATCTTTCCTGTTCGGCACTGTAGAAAACATGGGTCGTTTAGCTCATCTTGTCATCAATGGTACCTTCAGCACCTCGCCTAACTTGATCACGCAGTTGGTGACTATCCACGGACTTTATCCTGACGGCTGGAGCTGAGAATTCCCCTTGCATTCGGCTTACTCCCCGGAAAGACACAGGCTTATCATATTTATGAAGCCCTCTTGGATGAGCTCCTTGCATTTGGAGTCGACCTTTAATCTGTCATGAGTGACTACGAGAGAGCCCTGATAAACGCTGTGTCATTAAAACTTTAAAATGGAAAGTCAAATATCCAGCGCTAGTTGTTTACACTATCGCAAAAGAACCTATTGGGGTAAACATTATGCGAGAATTTCACCGAGCTAAAGCTGGTTAGTTACAATTTACGATCATTCGGATTAATGATTAAACCTCGAAAAAGAATAGAACCATGTTATCGATTCTTTAATTCATGACTGATGTAATACTAATACCATAATATTATTACCTTGGCTATTATGAGACATGAGTACTGCACAGGTAAATCAGGGTACTATAATTTTATAACATTCCACCTCCAATTTTTATGAAGCTTTGATATCGGCCAACTCTATCCAGGTTTGCGGGTTGACAAAATAGTTCAGCTAGTAGTAGTAGGCGGCAGCAAAGGCTTCCAGTGGACCATGATTGACATTAAACCTTAGAACTACCAATAACATTTTACAGAATAAAGTTTAGACAAAAAGATTAAAAGTTATTCAACAAGAACATCCTCGCCAGACTTTTGAAACCCTGTAACTATTATACACAATCACATTATTGATTATATATCTATATTGAGTGTAATTATGACCAATAAGTTATTATGTTTCAATTATAAAAGTACAATTCTCTTATCAGTTCAGAAGCGGGTTTAAAGGACGGTGTTGTAAGATAATCATAAAGTTCAACACCGGAAATCGTACTGTAGACTGTAGTGCGACACGTACTCTAGTGCGACACGTACTCTAATGCGAAGACCGACAAAAACACCATTTGTCGCACTACAGTACGTGTTGCACTACGATCCAGGTAGCGTACTCTAGTGCGACAAAATATCCTGACTTATTTCCAAGTTCAGGTCACATCCTATCCTTCTTATGGACCATTAATATAAGTGATTCGTCGGGTCGGTTCACGTCACTTATTTCGAAGTGATCTTGCGAATACGATTCGTCGGTTCACATCACGTGTTTCGAAGTGATCCACTATCATAATTCCTTCGGGTCAGTTCAAGCCACTTATGCATTGTGTGATCCACTGGGTAACTCGTAAGCAGCATATGATCCTCATTTCTATCACACGCATCGTATGAAGGTATATATCCGATTGGGATAACAAGTTCATATGCTTGGGCCATATATAAGGTCACGATGATTATACCAAAGCATCGAACAACATGTCTGATGACTACATCAGAACGAACAATGGCGAAACCTTCCTTCTTTGGGATTCTGCCTACTCAGCAGAGGGAAGAAGATCTTTCCTGTTCGGCACTGTAGAAAACATGGGTCGTTTAGCTCATCTTGTCATCAATGGTACCTTCAGCACCTCGCCTAACTTGATCACGCAGTTGGTGACTATCCACGGACTTTATCCTGACGGCTGGAGCTGAGAATTCCCCTTGCATTCGGCTTACTCCCCGGAAAGACACAGGCTTATCATATTTATGAAGCCCTCTTGGATGAGCTCCTTGCATTTGGAGTCGACCTTTAATCTGTCATGAGTGACTACGGGAGAGCCCTGATAAACGCTGTGTCATTAAAACTTTAAAATGGAAAGTCAAATATTTATTGAATGTGTAAAGTGTTTTGTCGCACTTTAGTTCATGTCGCACTACAGTCCAGGTAGCGCACTGTAGGGTCCAGTACAGCCTAT